CCGGTGCGTAGAGAGGGAGGGCATACCATCAGTGGTCAAGATAACGGCTTCTATCTCTATTTCAATGTGGCTAGGCCAGAGACCGTTGAACAGAGAGAGTGGACAGGTTGGCAGGGGGTTACGAGGTCACAGAGGTAGGGGGGGGAGCGAGGCTGTGGGGGGCTGTGAAGGTGAGGACCAGCATCTTGAACTGTATCCTCTGAGTGATGGGGGGCCAGTGGAGCCGGATGAGCGGGTGGGAGGGAGTGATAGGTTTTCAGAGCCTTGTGCGGGAGAGGACATGGGCTGCAGAGTTCTGTATGATCTGCAGCTTGTAAAGGGAGGAGTTGGGAGGCCGGCAAGCAGGGATCTTGTGTCATCGAGCCGGATGTTGTGACTGCATGGATGAGGGTCTCGGTGTTCTGTGGTGTGAGACCGTGGCAGAGCCGGGCGATATTGCAGAGGTGGGGAAAGGCAGAGCAGGTCATGGTATGGATGTGGGGTATGAATGACGGTTGAGGGTTGAACTGAATGCCGAGGTTCCATATTGGCTCCTTGAGGTGTAGAGTGCATCCATGGAGGGAGATGCTGTCAGCGCCCGAGGTGAGGAGGCGCTGACGGGAGCCAAGCAGGAGAGCCTCGGTCTTGTTGACATTCAGCTGCAGGAAGTTAGTTCTTATCCAGTTCTTGATGTCCAACAGGCAGTTTGTGAAGACAGCAGTGGACCTGGAGGTGGAGTTGTAGAGGTACATGTCTGAGGTGGACAAGTAGTGCTCTCAATGGCAAGCTCTGTGGTTTTAATTGGATAGACTCCAGCAGTTACCCCAACGCACTCTCTGGGGTCTCCAAGCCTGCGCTCTTGCCTAATGCTTTCCTGAATAAACCGGATGGGTCTCTCCAGGTAGAGAGAGCGCATTCCATTCCAGGAATCAACGGTGATGGGTGTCTGCACAGTTCAGACACCTGACAATGGTAAATTGATTAAATGGTTCTTATTGATTAGCTCCAGCGGTTATCCCTTCCCCATTCCAATTGATCATCATCACTCACTGAAGTGAGGCCTCTATCCCAAAACTCCTTGTGTCTGAGAGTGAAATTCACGGTCTGGTGGGGCGTGTGACCTGGACTGTGGCTGAGAGAGGCTGAGATGACCTCAGACGCCAAGTAGAAATGCCTTGTTTTTCCGTCGTTGATGAATTCTGTGCCGTTCAGCACCGCATCCAGGTCTCTGTAGGCGATGAAAGAAACAGCACCAAAACCTGGGGTTGGGAGGAGATTCTTATGTTAGTGCAACGACGACAACAACTTGAATTGGCACAGCAGCTTTGACATAGAGTAATGTCACTCTGCCCCCACATACTCACCTGCATTAACCTCCATACCCCCATGGCACCAGTTCTAGCCGGGCTCCACTGGTGCCCTATCGCCAAATGGATCAATTTCAAGATCCTTGCACTCGTCTTCAGATCCCTTCATGCCCTGCACCTCTCTATCTCTCTGACCTACTTGCCCCTAAATCCACTGCCTCCGCTTAACAGGCTCCAGCCTCCTGCACGTCACTCATGCTCTCCATCCCACCATCGGTGGCCGCGCTTTCAGCCACTACACCCCGAAACTTTGGAACACTCTCCCTCTATCACTCTGCCTCGCCTCTTTCTTCTCCATCTTTAGGTCGTGCATGAAAGACCTTCCTCTTCGACCGTGCCCACGGTCACTTGCCCCCTTCCCCCATCTTGGCCTTGTGCTCCACCACTCTTAAGTTCTCTGGCTTCGCTGCCAATAGCACCACACGGGATATTTAACATCCACCTGAACAGACTCGGTTTAGCGCTTTGAGAGGTCTCAATGACATGATAAGGCCCTATATCAAATTCAAGGATTATTATTATTATTATTATTATCCACACGTACCTGTGGTTTTCCCCCCAGTCACTGTGTCCCGAAAGATGTCCATCGTGTTGTTCCTGGCCTGTAACCTCACCCTTTCCCGCTCGGATGTCCCTTCCCCACGAAACATCCGCACTTCCACTTCTAAGAAGCAAAGGACACAAACACGGGTCGGTTCCGAGGGCAACGGGACAGCATTCAATGCGTTAAACACTGATTTATGTACCTACCACTGTTACTAACATTATTATCACTTTGAATATTAATTAGTTATAATATTACATTAATCATATAATATTATTGAGGGTTTATTATTACTAATATTAATATTTCTGTGTATCTTTATTACAAATACATGACATTATTTTGTAAGAGTCGGGGTGTCGTGACATAATTACTTAACACTGCAGTGCCCTTCACGTTGGATGTCCTCCAGACATGAAAGGCGCTACACAAATGCAAGTTGTTGTTGTTGTTGTTGTTTACCCATGATTTCCGTCTGGTTCCTCCTCACTCCCTGATCGGGCAGATCCAATGCAGCCGCAATTGCGGATTCTCCACCAGGGTTAGGAAGGCGTTAGCAGATTGCATGCGCTCGTCAGTCTCCATACTGTTCCACAGCTCGTCTCTGCCCACGAGGTCGCTTGCGAATGACGTGACGTTCTGTTGACATGACAGCGTTGGTTATAGCGCTCGCCTCGCAAGCGAGAGGACCCCGGTTTGATTCCCGGGTCAGAGCGAAACAACAGGCAAGTTTCCGTACTCCACCTGCCTCTGTTTACTCAGCAGGAAGTAGGAACCTGGACTGAGTTGATGATATAGACTGATGTTAATTGATTGGTGGAATGCTTTCTGGACATAATAATTCCACTAAAAAATAATAATTTGGTCACTCAATCCACGGCTGTTTATGTTACACTGCTGTGGGCAAACTGGCTGCCACGTTTCGCTCACAAAACACACAGTCAATTGACTTTCCAGTAGATTCTGTGAAGAGCTTCGAGGCATCTCAAAGATTTGATAAGGCGCTGTGTCAAATGCAAGAATTGTCATTAAAATGGTGAGGCTCTTGGCTTGAGTATTGAGGCAAAGGGAAAAGGAGTTGTCCTGTATGTTACTGACCTCCAAAGCGAGTCGCCTGGTAAAGTTTTGACAGAACTCATCAGCCAAGTGGAAGATTTTCTCGATCACAGGGCAGAACTCACTGCCGAGCAGCTGAGGATTCTGTGACAAGAAAGTAAATATCATGGGATGAGATCCAAGTGACTTTCTCTGTGCTTCAACTTACACAATTCATTGCGTTACTGTGACCGACAGATACACACAGAGCAAACACGCAGAGATAGACATAAGAACTACATTTAACAGAGATAGACACAGAGATACATTGACAGAGATAGACACGTAGACAGACATAGACATGGAGATACAAAGTAGGGAAATAACGACAACCACTTGGCCCTCATGCAGGGCAGTGTCCCAGAGAGCTTGACAGTGGTGGAGCACAATGCTGAGCCGAGGGGAGGGCGCGGTCGAAGAGGAAGGTCTTTGAAGATGGGTAAGGAAGGGGCAAGGCAGAGAGATTGAGGGAGAGAATTTCAGAGAGATATGGTTAGCGATCTCCAGACATGGAGACATAGCGATACGTACTTAGGATGAGCATAAAGCCTATCTGCCACCACCATCTGGAATTCCATCCCTGAGTCCCTCCAACTCGCTCCCTCCATCACCTTACTCAAGGTGCGTCTCGAGATCCTCCTCATTGACCATGGCTTTGGTCACCTTTCCCCTTCCCCCCAACCCTCCCCACCCTTGCCACCCCCCTCACCCACCCACCACGGGTAACCAGCCAGGATTGTTAAGCACCTTGGGACGTCCTCTCAAGGTGAAAGGCACCTCGTAAATCTAATTTGTATTGTGTTATATAGAGAAAGGGATATAGAGAAACATCCGATACACACAACTACTACACACAAAGATACGGATACATACATAGGAACAGGAGTAGATCATTCAGACCCTTGATCCAGTTCCGACATTCTATTAGATTACAGCTGACGTGTACCTCCAGTCTAATTACCCGCCTTTGCCACAAAAAATCTCTTGATACCTTAACAAATACCTCTCCACCTCTTGGAAATTTGAATTACTCAGCATCCACAGCCTTTGGAGGGAGAAAGCTCCAGATTTCCACTCCCCTTCGTGCAACTGTGTATAACGCATGTAATAACTCTATGGCAGTGTATCTCAAAACACGGACGGGGGACAGCGTTGGAGTGGAAGGGGTGCGAGTGGTGAGCTGGAAATATGTGGACCCTACCTTTCGGAATCCGACTGGGCGGCTGGAATCACATCGCTCCCCAATGATTGCATCGTGCTTGTTCACGTCAGGAAGACAGTCAAAATCTATCGCGGGAATGAAACCAAATCAGCCCTCAAATAACAGCCCTCCATAAAATCGCTCACTCACTTCACAGCTGTTTGTGGGGACGCCGCTGTGCAACATTGGCTGCCGCGTTTGCCTACAAAACACACAGTCACTGCACTGTACAGTAAATCCTGTGAAGCCCTTTGGGACGGTCCTCTTGATGTGAAAGGCGCAGTACCAAATGTAAGGATTATTGTGATTAAGAAGAGGGAGGTTTGAGTTTGCGCAGAGATACAGAGATGAATAGAGTCTTTACGTTCACAGTGAGTTGTTCCATTGGTGAAGGAAGCTTCTCCGGTGGTAGAGACAAATGTTGTGTCACACGTGCAGTAGAAAGCTCCCACGGTGTTGTGACAAGTCGCATTGGTGCCACATATGTTGGATTTACACTCATCCAAATCTGCAATAAGAAATACAAATGTCAGTTACTCCTTGGGCTTCATTTCTCCCACAAAACATACAGTCACTTTACAGTATATCCTGTGACGTCTCGATATTGCGAAAGGCGCTCTATCAAGTGCAAGGATTATTATTATTATTTGCGTTGTAGTGGAGTCCTGTAGCTCAGTGGTTACAGCACTCACCCGGCAATCGAGAGACCTGGGTTCGCTTCCAACAGAGTGAAATGTTGGGCAAGTTTCCTTACTCCACAGGGCTCTGTTTACTGAGCAGTAAGTAGGAACCCGGTTGGTAGTCGATTGGCAGATCACGTTTCTGGGGGTAATAATTCCTTCAAATTTGTTTTACTAAAAATTGGTCACTTCATTCCACGACTGTTTGGGGGACACTGATGTGTGCAATTCGCTGCCGCGTTTGGCCCACAATATATATGGTCAATACACTATACAGTTTTGTTATGGTCTGGAATGCACTGCCTGAAAGGATGTTGGGAACAGGTTCAATAACAACTTTCAAAAGGGAGTTAGACAGGTACTTGAAAAGGAAAAGTTTGCAGAGTTTGGGGAAAGAGCGGAGAGAGTTGGACCAATTGAGTAGCTTTGCCAAAGAGCCAGCACAGGCACGATGGGCCGATTGGCCTCCTTTTCTGCTGTAATATTCCACAATTCTAGAGTCAGTGAAGCTCTTGGAGACGTCTCGAAGATGTGATAAGGCGCGATAACAAATTCAGGGATTATTATTATTATAATTATTATTATTGGGCTGTGTGCTGGTCAGTGCTCTCTCCTGGAGATTCGATTGTGTGAGGGAGCAATGATCGGAGTCTCTCCATGATATAGCTGTGAATCAAGTTGAGAATCAAATACCCGGGACTAACACTCCAGTGCAGTGCTCGGGGAGTGCTGCATTATCGGTGGATACTGTCCACTGGAGACACAGACTCCAGCAATTGAGCTGCTATGTTTGCCTGCAAACACAAGGTCCCTACACTTCAGTGCCAGCCTGTGGCTCAGTGGTAGGGCACTTGCCTCCGAGTCAGAAGGTTGTGAATTTAAGTCCCGACGTCAGGACATTGAATCACAAAGTCTCGGCTTACGCCCCAATGCAGTGCTCGGGGAGCGTAGCATTGTCAGAGACGCAGTCCTTTGGATGAGACAATACGCTGAGCTGTGCTCTGTTCCGCTGATCGTTAAAGATCTTGAGCTGCTGTTGGAAAAGAGAAGGAAGTTTCTTTCTCCCCGTGTCCTCGCTGCTGCATTTTGCCCACAAAACTTTACAGTATATTTGATTATAATAAAGATAATAATAATCCTTGCATTTGATAAAGCAGCTCATCACGGCTTTGAGATGTCCCAAAGTGCTTCACAGGAAATAATGCCAAGTGAACTGACTACATTTTGTGGGTGAAACATGGCAGCAAATTGTACACAGCAGCGTCCCCACAAAATCATAGGTTGAGGGATCAATTTATTATCCATTTTTTGAAGGAATTATTATCCCTGGAAAAGTGATCGGCCAATTCATTAACAGCCAGGTTCCCACTCATTGCGGGGTAAACAGGGGCGTGTGTGGCGTCAGGAAACTTGCCCAACGTTTGCCCCAACTGGGAATCGAACCCGGGTCTCTCGCTCTCACTGAGCTGCAGGACTTGTGGAGAGAGTGGACGGGTTGGTAAAGTTTTAGTAGGTTACAGAGGTGGGGAGGAACAAGATCGGGAAGGGTTGTCATCTGAAAAGCAGTCGAGGCGGGTGTGGTGGTGGGGTGGGGTTGGTTGGGGGTGTATTACCTTCACAGACAGTCGTTGTGTTGACGAAAGTAGTGTTTCCGGTGCTCGTGGCAAACCCTGGGTCACACATGCAGTAGAAAGCTCCCTCTGTGTTGTGACACGTTGTGTTGGGGCCACACGTAATGGATTTACACTCCTCAATATCTGTAGGAGACACAATGGTGATTTTCACAGTGTTTGACAATTTAATCATCTCCACCATTGGCGGTGTGTGGTTCGGTGTGAGCTGCAAGGGGTCAGGGCCGTGCTCTCACTTCTGAGTCAGAAGGTCGTGGGTTCAAGCCCCACATCAGGGTTTTCAGCTCACAGTCTTGGCTGTCGCTATAGGGCAGTGCCGGGGGGAGCGCAGCATTGTCAGAGGTGCCGCTGTCCTGGCTGACAATACCCCACATACAGTTGGTCACTCACTTCACGACGGTGTGTGGGAGAGAGAGAGAAACTCCTTTCTCTTTTCCAACAGCATCTCGGGATGTTTAACATCCTCCCGAACAGGGCACAGCTCAGTGTAACTTCTTATCTGAAGGATAGCGCCTCTGATGAAGCAGCATTCCCACCACATTGCACTGAAGTGTGTTTATGTCAGTCCCACTGAGGGGCTCAAAGGCACAAACAATGGGTGTGGGGGGAGTGGGGGGGCGGTGGGAATGGGGGAATGATTTACCTTCACAGAGAGTGCTGTCGTCACTGAAAAAAGATTTTCCAGTGCTGGTGACAAAGCCGGGATCACATACGCAGTAGAAACTTCCCAGTGTGTTCTGACAACCTGCATTGGAGCCACACGGACTGGATTCACACTCGATGCGATCTGTAAGGAACACAGGGCTGACAATTGCTGTGTCATAATTTCATAATCCTGAACATTAAGAGTGATTTTTTGTGTAGGTCAGTTGGGTCCCTATAAACAGTCGTGGATTAAATTGGAGGGATTATAACCCTCAGAAAGCGATCTGCCAATCGACTAACAACTGGGTTCTTACTTACTTACCCAAACGCTCCAGGACACTACTCCGCCTGAAGGGCTTTATATAAATGTAAGTTGTTGTTGTTACTGCTCGGCAAACAGAGGCGTGTGGAGTAAGGAAACTTACTGTCCTGCCGAGGAATCAAACCCAGGTCCTTGTGCTTGCAAGGCAAGCCTCGAACCACTGAGCGACAGGACTGTGTGAATGCAAGTTACTATTGTTGGTTGTGAATTTCCTTTTTACCTTTGCAATATGATTTGACTGTGAAGTTCCTTTCCCCTCGAATAGTTTCGTAGCCTTCGTAACAGCTACAGTAGAAGCTCCCAATAGTATTGTAACACGTTGCCTGAAATGAACAGGTGAACAAACCAAATTTGGTTTCACACTCATTTATATCTGCAACAACAAGAAGGAAAGCACAAACTGCATTTACACAAAAGGTTGTTAGGTTACACTCTGCCTTACACCATGAGTCATGGAAGGTTGGGGAGAATCGAGTGCCTCACACTCATCTTCAAATCCCTTCACGCCCTGGTACCTCCCTACCTCTCCGAGCTGCTTATTCCCCAACCCACAACCTGCTGCCTCGCTCGACTGGCTCCATCTTCCTGTTGGCCCTCATGCCCTCCATTCCATCATTGGGAGCAGAGCTTTCAGCCACTATGCCCTGAAACCCCTCCTCTATCCCTCCGTCTTGCCCCCTTCCTTCCCCGTCTTCAGGTTGTACCTTCACAGCGAATCGTTAAGTTGGTGAACTCAGTCTCTCCTTTGATGGAGGCAAACCCTGCGTCACACTTGCAGAGGAACGCTCCCTCTGTGTTGGTGCACGTTGCGTTGGAGCCACACGGGCTGGATTCACACTCGTCGCGATCTGTAAGTGACACAAGGGTGACATTTGCTGTGTTTGACAAGTTAATAACCCCCAAAAATTAACAGTGAACAATTGTCACTATTAAGAGTGATTAATGGCCCACGCGGAAACCCAGCGCCAAGCTTGAAAGTCTCAGATCCAAGCTGCAGAGAGTTCCACATGAGGGGTCAATCTCCCTCTGTGTGGAATGAACACAGTAAATTGTCCTGTTGTGTTACACACGTAACTGCAGCAATTACCCCCAAAGCCACAAACTCTGGGCTCGAGCCAACCTGCACCTAATCCTCTCCAGGATTATGTAAGAAGGGTGTTTCCCTCCGAGGGATGAGAGGAAGAGAGAGTGTGCATTCCTTCCCAGACACCAGGGAGATCTCCAGTTGTGTTGTACAGAAGGGAGGGAGTCCTCTCATCCCTTGGAGGGTTGCACACTGTTCCTTCAACTACCGAGAGGATAAGGGGTAATTTTTCTGGTTAGACAGGTGTCTGACACCTGCCAAACCCCATCACCGCTGTTTAAGAGTCTCCAAACCACATTATGTTCCAGAACCCTCGTTTACGTATGGAGGAACTTGGCTGTTCGCCAATTGGTGGATATCTTTCCCTCCACAGAAAATAATCCTTCCCCAAATATTTGGGTCACTCGATCCATGACCGTTTGTAAGGCAATTGCTGAACTTCACCCGCAAAATACAGTCAATTCATAGAGTCATAGAATATTATTTATTTACTTTAATTATTTACTATTCAGTATATTCTGTGAAGCGCTTTGAAATATCTCAAAGGCGCTATACCAAATGCAAGGATTATTATTATTAATATTATTACAGAAGGAAGCCATTTGGCCCGTTGTGCCTGTGTCGGCTATTTGGAAGAGCTACACAATCAGTGCCGCTCTTTCCCCACAGCCCTGCAATTTTTTTTTCTTTTCTACAGATCTAATTCTCTTTTGAAAGTTGTTATTGGATCTGTTTCCAAACCCTTTCAGGCAGTGCATTCCAGACTGTAACAACTCTCTGTGTAAAATAATTTCTCCTCGTCTTCCCTCCGGTTCTTTTGCCAATCACCTTAAATGTTTCTGCCCTGGTTACCCACCCACCGGCCAGTGGAAACAGTTCCTCCCTGTCTGCTCTATCATAACCCTTCATAATTTTGAACACCTCTATTAAATCCCCCCTTAACCTTCTCTGCTTTAAGGAGAACAATCCCAACTTCTCCGGCCTCTCCTCATAAATAAAGTCCCTCATCCCTGGTAACATTAGGTAAATCTCCTCTGCACCGTCTCCGCGGCCTTGACATCCTTCCTATGGTGCGGTGTCCAGAATTGCACACAATAATCCAACTGAGGTCTAACCAGTGACTTGTAAAGGTTCAACAGAACTTCTTTGTTTTTGTACTCTGTGCCTCGATTTATAAACCCAAAATCCCATGTGCTTTTTTAACAGCTCTATCAACCTGTCCTGTCACCTTCACAGCCCTGTGTATGGGAACCCTCTCTGTTCCTGAACCCCCTTTAAACTGTGCCATTTAGTGTGTAGGTACTTTGCAGCATATTCTGTGAAGCACTTTGAACGTCGCAACGACATGATAAGGCGCTATACCAAATGCAAGGATTATTGTTATTATTACTCACCGAGGCACGTCCCATTCCCGGACTGTTGATATCCTGGGGAGCAGGTCTGGCTGGTGACAGTCAAAGGCTCCCAAACATTGCCCAAGTAAATCACTGAGAAACAAAAGCATTGGTCTCTTTTAAAAATCTCATAACATGTCCCTCCTGGTACAGTCGTAGTGCTCTCGCCTCTGAGTCAGAAGGTTGTGCGTCCAAACCCCGATGTCAGGACTTGGAATCACATATAAAAATTTACACAGACTGTACAGCCTGTAAACAGCCCACTCGGACCAACCGGTCTGTGCCGGTGTTTATACTCCACATGAGTCCTGACAATCAATGACATCCCAGAAACAGCCAGGGAGTGAGCGATCGATTTTATCTGGAGGATTGCTGGCCAGGACATCGCGACAGAGAGAGAGAGAGAGAGAGAAAGTCCCGTTAACAATGCAGCATCAGCTGAGACTGTGTGATTCCACTCCCCGACGTGGTGGCTTCATCCCACAACCTGTGAGTCAGAGGCGAGAGCGCTCCCGACTGAGCCGGGCTGACACACGACAGCGCAGAGGGAAAAGATAAAGGGTTCTGCGTTCACTGTGTTTCCATCCACTAATCACTCCGCACTCCGCTCACGTACCCAGCAGTAAGCCAAACCAGTTTGCTTTCCTCATTCTGGCTGATGTGTCCACTCAGAAGCCAGTGATCTGCACAGGAACGGCTTCTCCTTTTGTCTCTGTGTCTCTTCTCTGTCTCTCTTTCTGTTTCTCTCTATCTCTGTCTCTCTCTGTCTCTGTTTTTCTGTCTCTCTCTCTGTATGTCTCTGTCTGTCTCTCTTTCTTTCTCTGTCTATCTCTATTTCTCTTTCTTTCTCTTTCTCTCTGCAGCTCCTGTTCTTTCTGTCTCTCTCTCTCTCTCGCTCTCCCTCATTCAAGTCAGAACCTGTCCACACAGATTTGGCTCTGAGTGCAAATGAAGGCGAAACTTTACCACATCACTTGAGCACTGATGGAGTGAGATGGGGAAATCGCTGAACATTTATAAGGGTGTGAGTTTGTGCCATCAAAGCTGTGCTGTGTGCCACATGCCTGTTATTGTTAAAATTGTGCCCCACCCACAAACTATCATTATATGACAATAATAATCCTTGCATTTCATACAGCACCTCATCTTGTCATTGAGACGTCTCAAAGTGCTTCATAGGATATACTGCAAAGTGAATTGACTGTATATTTTGTGGGCGAAACTCGGCAGCCAATTGCGTTCAGCAGCGTCCCACAAACCGTCATGGATTGAGTGATCAAATTATTCTTTTTATTTATTGCTGTATGTAAATACTTGTGTTTATTTATTTGTTTATTTATGAAGGGATTATTACCACCAAAAGAGATCCGCTAATCGACTAACAACTAACGACCGGGTTCCTATTTACTGTGAGGTAAACAGAGTCACGTGTGTGGAATAAGGAATCGAACGCAGGTCTCTCGCCCGCGAGGCAAGAGCTCTAACCACTGAGCTACAGGATTCCTGACAACCTGAAAAAGAACGTTGTCAAACTGTTTCTGCTTCCACACGTCCCGTCCGGATTTCCATTTGGCCCAAATCCATCCGCGAAACAGAGAAAAAATAAACCCATTACCTCAGCAGAGCAGGAAATGAAGCCTCACCCCGGGATTCCTGGAACAGTTCAAGGCAGTGCGATGGCATCCCAGTACGTTCCTAAGAGGCTTAAAAGTTACTCACCAAAAGAAACAGCAATTATAAGGCAATTGTATTCCCTTATAATCCATTGAGTAATCACAGCAGCAATAATTTGTTTCCTCACAACCCCGAGTGCCGGCCCGGCTCAGACAGGAACACTCTCACCTCCAGCTCAGAAGGCTGTTGGCTCAACCAACAACAACAAATGGCATTTCAGCCGAAGACGTTGAGCGTTGTGTTTGTTTGGCATTTCTGTTGTTCCAAATATTATATTGATGAATAAATACATATTTAATACAAACAGCAAAATAAAAACATTTTGAGTGTGGTGCCCGGTTCTCAGTGTCCCGCTCTGACGAGGATGTCAAGACCACGGCGAGAATATCAAGCATATCCACTGGGATTATAAAAGGGATGAGTGGCTCTACTTATCAGAACAACGGGGGATAAAAGATCTTTTTTTCTCTGGGTAGTGGGATATTAGGACTTGGAATGAAGCACAATTTATAACAGTTTTAAAAGGGAATTAAAGAAAAAAAGCACTCTGAAGAGTCTCCAAACGAAACTACTGAGATTTCTGTGTTTTATGTATCTGGGGTGTGCGCTCCCTTCTCAGAGGAACCCACCGGCTTACTTCATTGTGGAGACTTTAGGTGCAGTTTGGCCAAGTGTTGCAGAGCCCTGAGGGGACGTTCAGGTTCGGCTGAAATTGAGCCACCGCCAACTGAGCAGCTTCTGTTCTAAAGCACTGGTAATCTTTCTGATGTCTGTCCAAGTCATGATAATAATCCTTGCATTTGATAGAGCACTTTTCACGTCTTCTATACTGCAAAGTAAATTGACTGTATATTTGTGGGTGATACGCGGCAGCCAATTGCACACAGCAGTGACCCACAAACAGCCGTGGATTGAAGGGGACAATTTGTTTTTTTTCTTGAGGGATTATTATCAGGTGTGTGGAGTAAGGAAACTTGCCCAAGGTTTTGCCCTTCTGGGAATCAATCCCAGGTCTCGCTTGCGAGGCAAGTGCTCTAACCACTGAGCTACAGGAGTCCATAGCTCTGAATGTTTGCATGTGGATATAACACGTCCTACAGCAGTTTTCTGCGACGTGATGGAGAAAACAGAGAGGAATCGGAAGGGGCATTGGAGGCTTTGGGAGTTCCAATGGAGTGTAACCACCAGACGAGCTGTGCCAAATAGGCTGTTTCTGTGCCATAACATCCTATGTAATTACTGAACCACATTCCACTTTACACTGTTAATCACTGGAAAGTTTCTGGTTATATCAACGATGTGATCAACGAACAAACAAACAAACAGAGAATACATTTGTGTAGCGCCTTTCACGTAAAAGTATCCTGAAGGCATAAATATCAGTGTTGTGGGATGAAACTTCATCTGCTATCCAAGTTGCTTCTCTAAAGTCCTTGCTCTGTAAAACATTTTGTATCTGTAGTGAAGCGACGCAGTGGAAAACCAGAGAAAAACTGGACTGAGTTTCACTTCCTATCTCGGGAGCTGAAGGAAATTTACTGATGAGACCAGACAACTCAGTGCAGACCAATAAAACTCACTACGTACCAAGAATCTTTAGCTCAGTTATTCACTGCACAAGTTTGTTCAATTATCAGAAGAAACTGTGGAATTTCCTTCTAGTCAGTGTAAAACACACATACGTGTGGATATTTTAACAAAATACATTCAAAGCCAAACATTTCTGAAACAACGCGTCTGATGCCACATGTCTCTCATTTCCTTAAGCGTCTGATACAGGACTTCACGTTCAATCAGCGAACATTCACCAAATAATAATTCTCGCATTTGATATACAATACAAAATTGCATTTAAATAGCGCCTATCAAGTCGGGAGGATGTCCCGAGGTGCTGATATGGAGCCCTATCATGTCGTTGAGATGCCACAAAGCGCTTCACACACTATATTGTAAAGTCGATTGACTAAATATTTGTGGACAAGACACGGCAGCAAATTGCCCACAGCTTTTCGCTCCAAAAGTCGGAAAACAGGACTAGGAGGTAAACAGGAACATTCAGTCCACTGAGCCGGTAATACCAGTTTATTAAATCTTGGCAAATCCTTTAATCCCAATGGCCCACCCGTTCAACGGCCCAGTTATACCTTTAACACCCAAGTCTCTGGGTGTTTCTCTTCTAATTATCTCTGATGATTCCACAGCTTTGTGGGGCAAAATCATGTTACCTCAGAGAACATGGATATTAAACCCACTTGTAAATACAAACTGTTATTGTTGTTGATTCACCTCCCAAGAGGAATGTTAATCCTATTGTGAAGCTGGGAGGTGCTGGGAAAGGCCACCCGTGATGTGGGAGAGGCAAGGTGATGTGTGACACACTCAGAGATACACTTCCTTCTCCCCTTCAAGGCCTTCAAGGTCCTCGCCCTCACGTATCATCCCTTCACATCCAAACACCTCCCCACCGCTCCGAGATGATGTCCTGTGTAGTGGAGCACTGTGTAAATGCATTTACATTCCTTGATGTTGGATTCCTTCGATATTTACAAACACACTTTACATTATTTCCTGTAAAGCGCTTTTGGGATGTCCTCCCGTTGGAAAGGTTCCATATCAAACTGCAAGGCTTACAAATGTATAATTGATATCATTAGTGTTGTTAATATATGACAATATTAATGTCCCTGAGCAGGAGGGGAGATTATTGGCTGTGTGTCTAACTTGTGTCTTGACAGATGCAGAAACTCATTGCCAGGATTAAGAGACTCCAAAACAAATGACTCAAAGCTCTGCATCATGTTTTCCGTTTGTCCGGTATGGACTGGGACTCTCTCTCTCTTTCGCTCTCCTTTTCTTTCTCTCTCTCTTCCCCCAGAGTGACACCTGCTTCTAACCACAGAGTATTAGGCAGGTTGGCGAGAGCCAAGGTTTGGGCACTCCAGATGTGTGTTGGGGTAACTGCTGGAGTCTAACCAGCGAGAACCCCATAACTTGCCGTTGACAGCACTGCCCAGCAAGCTTTCCCGCTGCTTGTCTCACTCGGCGAGCTGGAGGGCGCTATATAAGTGCAAGCTGTTGCTGTTGTTGTTGATGATGTGTTCACTCAGGAGGTTTGAACCGTTCTCTTTTCCAACAGTGCCATGAGATCTCTAACGTCTACCTGAACAGGCACAGAGGGTTGAGCTCGATGTGTGTTGTGTGGTTGATTTCCAGCTGCTGCTCAGTGAAAAATATGGATTGAGATGGAGTTTCCTGGGTCCCATCTGTCTGATCATTGTGGTAATACTCATGGAATGACATACATGGTGCAGTACCCAAACTAACCAGCAGGTGTCGGTATAGCATTGGGAGAAGAAGGCCAATTGCCCATCTGTTGGCTGCGACATCGCTCGCGATCTCGTCTCTCAGTCAAAAGGTTGTGGGTTCAAGGCCACAGCCTTCTGACTGAGCCTTTGAGCTCACAGTCTAAGCTGATGATCCATTGATGTGCCGGGGGGGCACTGGGACTCATTGTCGGAGGCGCCGTCCTTCGGATAAGATCCACATCGGGAGGTCTACACGTCAAAGTGTGGATGTCCAATGGACGACGGCAACAACAACTTGTATTCACATGTCACCCTTCAGGCCGGACGGCTTCTCACAGCATTTATATTTTACCGCAAATTACATAGATTTACACTGAGTGACCGGCAGAGAAACAGGCCTTTTGCTCCAAACAAGCGGTGCCAGCATTTACACAGCCTCCGTACCCCCTCCCACACCCTCTATTCCGTCAGGCGGAGGTCTCGCTTCCTCTTATAAACGCTCTGGGATGCTATCCATAGATATTTGGGGAGGACAAATATGCAGGGCTTTGGGGAGAGAGTGGGGTCAGAGAGGCTGAAGGCCTGACCGCTGATGGTGGGGTGGACCAGGTGGGGGACATGGAGCAGGCTGGGCAGGGGATGTGGAGCAGGACAGAGCTCATGGGGGGAGGTGTAGAGGGAAGGAATTCCAGGAATTAGGGACATAGTAGCTGAAGGCTTGGCCATCAATGTTGGTGATGAAGGACATGGACCTGTGTTAGTTGAGTGTATGGTGGTGGTGTTGAGGGGAGTTGGAGGGCGAGGAGCGGGTTATGAGCAGGTCAGAGAGTGATAGGGAGGTGCGTGGGTGTGAGGGGGAGGACCATGAAGTCCACCTGCAGAGACAGTGGAACCTGTCGGGGACTGGGGTGATAGGCAACATGATAATGGAGTTCTGTAGTGTATTGGTTAGAGCATTCACCTCGCAAGCGAGAGGACCTGGGTTTGATTCCCGGGCAGGATGAAACCTTAGGCAACTTTCCTTACTGCACTCGCCTCTGTTTACACAGCAGGAAGTAGGAACCCGGTAGTTATTTGGTTGGTGGATCAGTTTCAGGGGTAATAAGCCGTTTAAATTAAAAAAATTGGTCACTCACTCCACGGCTGTTTGTGGGACACTGCTTTGCACAATTGTCTGCCGCGATTCCCCACAAAACATACAGTCAATTCACTCTCCAGTGTATTCTGTGAAGCGCTTTGAGACGTCTTGAAGACATAATCAGGTACTGTATCGACTGCAAGGATTATTATATCATATATATGTTATATTATTTTAATGACAAGTACCTTATTGCCCGACAGATCAACCTTGCTCTGTACGTGACGGTGCTGTGTATCCTGAGGCACAAGGTCACCATGCGGAGCATGGAACTACCAAACATCAACACCAGGTGAGGGACAGCAACTCTCAGCTCCTGCACAGTGTTGCTGTCTGGCCGCTTGTTAATGTTTGCCTCAAAATACAGTCACTGCACTTTACAGGAAAATCCTGTGAATCTTGTTCTCTTGTTCTCCCCCTCCCATTCCCCTTCCCTTCTCCCCTTCCCTTCGCCCCTTCCCCCCCTTTTTTGGCTTCCAGTTTTTGAGGAAGTGACATGAACGCAGTGAAGAAGAAGTGACATATACGTCGGCCGTCTTTACGTTACAGTAAGGTTTACGTGCCTGGAGCAGGGATATACCAACAACAACAACAACTTGCATTGCATCCCAGAGAGCTTGCAGGGCCCGTCTCTCTGTATTATTTCCCTCCCTGCAGGATGCTGGCGATTTAAGCCGTTGGACAACAATAATTATGTTCCTTACCGTTGTTAGAGCGCCTTTCACATCCCAGAACCCTTCCCAGGGTTCAGTGTAAAGCCCAGTTACTGTGTGTTTGTAGGTGACTGTGGCAGCCAGCGATGTCTGTGCAAACATCCGTGCAGTGAGTGAGCCGGTTATTTGTTGGTGTGAGCCTTACTCTGACGGTTGTCTTGTTCCTGGGCAGGATGCTGGCGTTTAAAGCCGTGGGGCAGGTGTTTGTCCTGGGCTGTACCTGGATCCTGGGAGTGTTTCACTTCCAGAAGGGAACGGTGGTCATGGCTTATTTATTCACCATCGTCAACAGCTTCCAGGGCGTCTTTATCTTCATCTTCCTGTGTCTGTTAAAACCAGAGGTAATTGATGGTGGAGGGGGTTGAGGGTGGGGGTGAGTGTGTGTGTGCCGAGGGCGGGGGTGGAAGGGGATTTAATACGGTGTCTCTGAGCAGGTCAAGACTTCAGCTCTCAGATGTTTTCGGTGTCAGACCGGCTCTGTCGGTAGCGCTCGTGCCTCTGAAGCAGAAAAAGGTTTGGGGTTCAAGCCCCATATCGGGAATCGGAACTCACATACTCTGAGCATTTTCGGAGGTGCCGTCCTTCAGATGAGACGCTAAACCGAGCTCCCGTCTGTGTCTGTGCAGACGGTCGTTGAAGTTCCTGTGGCGCTGATCTCTCTCCCAGTGTCCCAGCTGACAATCCCTGGCCAGATCCCTGGATAATCCCTGGCCACATAAATTCGGTCACTCACTGCGTGGCGGGTAGACTGGGGTTATGTTCCTGAGAGCAGAGGACGGTTTCATTGCCGTTTCTAAAATAACAAACACAATTGACAGCATCGAGGTTCGCAGAATGTTCTCTCTGTTTGAAGAATAAACATAAAACTGATAAGACTGCCATGATTTAACACTGCAAGATAAACAAGAACAACAACAGGCGAGCGAGGCAGGGGACGTGAAGCAGGCCAGAGACCGCTGAGCGGAGGGAGCGAGCAGGATGGTAGGAGTTTAGAAGGTCGCAGAGGTAGGGGTTTGAGAAGCCACTGGAGTTGGGTGAGGATGGGGGGGATAGGGTCACAGAGCCTAGTGCTGGAGAGGACGCGAGCTGCAGAGTTCTGGATGATGTGCAGCCTATTGAGGGAGGAGTTGGGGAGACCGACAAGCAATGAGTTTGCATCGTCAACCCTTGAGGTAGTGAAAGCCTGTATGAGGGTTTCGGTGGCCTGTGGTTTGAGACAGTGGTGGAGATGGTCGATGAGTCGGAGTTTGTGGAAGGCAGAGCGGGTCATGGTGCGGATGTGGGATAGAAAGGATAGTTGAGGGATGTAAACTTAGTGAACTAAAAGAGAATTTACTTTACAGTGTATCCTGTGAAGCGCTTTGATCCCTCTCGACAACATGATCAGGCGCTGTATCAAATGCAATGATTATTATTATTGATTGTTACCAACTGAGCCAGACTGCCACACGGAGATCAGAGGCACAGGACAGTTAGGGCTAAGGTGTGGAAACAGGACAGAGTCTGTTATCACTGGTATTGGTATTGTTTTGTCCTCAGGTCAGGGTTGAGTTGCAGAGATGCTGTGCCACAACCAGACGGAGATAGAAGGAACCGAATTAATGAAAAATTGGAGTCCTCAGGGCTGTGCTGGTGTGAGATCAGGAACTCATCTCAATCCAAAGTGTGTTCCCTGAAATTCACCATCCCTCCTCATCCACTTTCAGCCGAACACAACCACTTTCACCCGGAACTCTGAGTTCTTCACACTGAGGAAGATGGACATCACTGAGGAACAGTCTTTTGGACCCAATGAGCAACTGGGACATGGATTGAGAGGTCCTCTGGACGCCCAGAGCAGAAGGCTGTGGGATCAAACCCTGACTCAAGGACTTTGAGCCCACAGTCTAAGGAGAGAGCTCCACATTGTCAGAGGCGCCGTCCTTCAGATGAGACGTTAAACCAAGCTCCCGACTGTGCCCTGTTCAGGTGGACATTAAAGATCCTGCAGGGCAACTTGGAAAATGAAGGGAGTTTCTCTATCTCCTGGTATCCTGACCAACAGTCCCTCTCCCACCACCACCCCACTCCCCTCCCACAACACCCCTACCCCCACCCCCAATCCCACCCCGACCCCCATCTATATAAAGTTGTAGCTGTTTGTGGAGATGTTGCTGTGAGCAAATTACCCGCCAGGACACGGGGAGAGAGAAAAACACTTTTGTCTTTTCGAGCAGTGACCGCAGGATCTTTTAACGTCCGATCTTTAAGGTCGGTGTCTCTGACAAAGTGGAGCTCTCTCTCCCCACAAAACTGCACTGGAGCATCAGCCTCGACTGTGAGCTCAAAGACCCAGACACGGAGGCTTGAACCCACAAAACATCTGACTCGGAGGCGAGAGCACGACCCACTGAGTCAGACTGACATTCAGTTGGCAAAGTCCTCAGGAACCAAACTCAACAGGAAATCATCACAGATATTTTTTGCACTATTGCTCCGTGTCAGAGAAGAAGATGAAAGGGCCTCAAATCCGCCCTCTCCAGACTGATCTGCTGGTGGATTTGGGGAGACAAAGGGACAAAAAAATAATCATTTGGTCACTCAATCCCCGACTGTTTGTGGGACGCTGCTGTGTGTAATTGGCTGCCATGTTTCGGCCACAACATACAGTCAATTCCCCTTACAGTCTATCCTGTGAAATGCTTTGAAATGTCTCAATGACGTGAGGAGGTGCTATATCAAATGCAAGGATTATTATCACTGTTATTATTATTATTATTGAGGGGATCTGCTTTCACAAAGGGCCAACGCAGACACTGTGCTGTTGTTTCCTTTGTGGGATTTATAGTTTGTCTTTCCCATTGTCTGTGATTTCTGCTCATTGAGCCACAAACCAGAGACTTTATTTTCTTTAATGTTTGGATTCCTTTAAATAAAGTTATTGGGGTTTTAATTTGGCAAAGGGTTTGTTTGGAACACATTTACTTTCCTGACGCTCAGTGGTCAGAATGTTCGCCTCTGAAGTGAGTGGACCCGGGTTTGATTCCCGGGCAGAGCGAACCCTCAGGTACGTTTCCTTATTCCACAAGTCTCTGGTTACCAAACAGTATGTAGGAACCCGGTTATCAGTCGAATGGCAGATAGCTTTTCGAGGAATAATAATCCCTTTCAAAAATAACTTATTATTATTTGGTCATTCAATCCATGGCTGTTTATGGGACGCTGCTGTGTGCGATTGGCGGCCACGTTTCGTCCACAAAATATACCGTCAATTCCCTTTACAGTATACTCTGTGATGTCTCAACAACATGATAAGGCGCTGCACCAAATGCAATGTATGTTATTGATATGAATTGAGAACTTGATCTCAAAGACCCTGATGTGGAGCTTCAACCCACAACTTCTGAACCAGACGGGAGAGAGAGAGAGAGAGAGAGACCGGGCTGACACTTCCGCAGGTCGCTGTTCTTTCTTCGTTCAGCTTCACGTCTATGAACTTCAAAGTGTTTGTCAGTTTGTGGAAAGAAAACACCAAAGCAGCATTTCTGTGACCACATGTGGCTGCTCACACCTCACCGCAAACTTCCACCATCGGCCACCTGACTTGCTCGGTTGTTTATGAAGACACGGCTCAGGTCCACATTATCCTTCGACAATACTAATAATCCTTCCATTCCATATAGCGCCTTATCAAATTTTCTAGACGTCTCAAAGCGTTTCACAGCGTATACTGTAAAGTGTAGTTCCTGTGTATTTTATGGGCAAAACAACAACAACAACAACAAGATTCCATTTATAAAGCGCCTTTCACGTCAGGAGGACGTCCCAAGGCGCTGCACAGTTGGGTCATGACCGAGCAGGGGGGAAATGGTCAGGGTGAGGGGAGGGAAGGGAGGGAGCGAGGAGGGGGGAAATGGTCAGGGTGAGGGAAGGGAGGGAGCAAGGAGGGGGAAATGGTCAGGGTGAGGGGAGGGAAGGGAGGGAGCGAGGAGGGGGAAGAGAGTCGAGAGGGGTCCGTCAATGGCACACAGCAGCGTCCCACAAACAGTCGTGGATTGAATGACCTCAATTGAAGTGTTTTGAGATGTCTGAAGATGTGATAAGGGGTTGTGTCACTCTCAGCCAATGTACCAACTTGTACAGAGCCCGAAACCAACACAGCCGCTGTCACCCTGAACTCCAAGTCCTTCACACTGAGGAAGATGCACATCGCTGAGGCTTTTGGATGGGTTTGTGTGTGTGTCAGACTCCCGGCGGTGACAACAATCCCTTCTTTCCAATAGTCTGTGGGATATTTAACACTTTAACACGGTGAGAGGTGAGAGCGAGTGCGGCTGAGCCAGGCTGCAGGAGACCGGTTGTGAGCAGAGACACATCCACACACCAAGACTGTTGGCAAGGATTTCCTGCAGCTAAATCTGTTTTGACATTAATGTGCACATGACTGTTTAGAGAAGGGGAGTCCCGAGTTACACAAAGAAAAATATGAGACAGTTTCCGGCAAATTCAGAGTGACTTTACCCTAATCCTCAATCCTTACATTTGCTATAGCGCCTTATCACGTCATCGCATCTCAAAGCCCTTCACGGTATATACTATAAAGTGGATTAACTGTGAATTTTGTGGACGAACCATAGATTTTTAAAAAAATATTTTTGCATTTTAGATTATTTGGGCCACAAACTATATAGTCACTACATTTTACAGCTTTGTAATGGCTCAACGATGTGACAATTCACAGTGTCAAGACTGAGGTGGACAGACGTTTGTTGGATGAGGTACAGAGGAGCCGAGATCTAATAGAATGTCAGAACAGGCTCAAGGGGCTGAATGGCCTTCTCCTGTTTATCTGTGCCTGTGATCAGATGCTGTATGAAATGCAAGGATTCCAATTATATTATTATTATTTTTCCTCCTTTCCCAAACCCCTCTCCATCTCCTTTACCACAGCGACATCAGTCTGAGAGACTGGTGCTGTTAAGCTGTGCTCAGAAAGCAAGAGGTCTGTCAGAGGTGGTCAGTCTGGTGTCCTCACCTCAGAAGCTGTGCAATAAAATCACACGCACACATACACACACATAGAGATGCACATGCACTCGCACACACAGCACACACCACACACAATACACTCACAGCACACAAACAGCGCACACACCACACACACACAGCAAACATACATATGCACACACACACAATACACTCACAGCACACAAACATCACACACACCACACACATAGCTCACACACATATGCACACGCATACACATAGGAACATAGGACTTAGAAGCAGGAGTAGGCCATTCGGCCCCTCGAGCCTGCCCCGCCATTCAATAAGATCATGGCTGATCTTCTAACCTAACTCCATCTGCCGCCTTATCCCCATATCCTTAATCCCTCTATCCATTAGAAATCTATCAGTCTTAATCTTGAATATGTTCAAGGACTGACCATCTATAGGCTTCTGCGGTGGAGAATTCTATAAATTCACTGCCCTCTGAGTGAAGAAGTGTTTCCTCAACTCTGTTCGAAAAGGCTGAGCCTTAATCTGCAGATTGTGACCCCTCGTTCTAGATTCTCCTCCCGGGGGAAACAGTCTCACACTCTCTACTCTGTCAAGCCCAATAAGAATCGTATATGTTTCTATAAGATCTCCCCTAATTCTTCTATATTCTAGAGAATGTCGGCCTGGTTTACCCAACCCATCCTCATAGGTCAAACCCCTCATCTCAGGAACTAACCAAGTGAGTCTCCGCTGCACCCTCTCTAAGGCGAGTACGTCCTTTCTTAAATAAGGGGAACAAAAGTGCACACAATATTCGAGGTGCGGTCTCACCAAGGCCCATTGCAGCAACACTTCCCTCCTCTTGTATTCTAACCCTTTTGCAATAAATGTCAATATGCCATTAGCCTTCCTGGTTGTTTGCTGTACCTGCAAACTAACTTTATGTGACTGGTGTACAAGGACACCCAAATCCCTCTGAACACTGACACTATCTGACCTCTCGCCCTCTAGAAAATAATCTGCTTTTCTATTTTTCCCGCCACGGTGAATAACTTCAGACTTTCCCACATTATATTCCATCTGCCCCCTTCTTGCCCACTCACCTCGCCTGTCTATATCCCTTTGCGATCTTTTTGTGTCATCCTCTGAGCTTACTCTCCCACTGAGCTTAGTATCATCTATGAATTTACATAGTTTAAGTTCTATGCCCTCGTCTCGAGCATTGATGTAGATTGTAAATAGCTGAGGCCCAATCACTGATCCTTGTGGCACTCCACTAGTCACGTTCCGCTAATCTGAGAAGGACCGTTTATCCCGACTCTCTGATTCCTCCCCGTTAGCCACTCTTCAATCCATGAGAATACATTGCCTTTAATTCCATGGGCCCTAATCTGGTGTAGTAGTCTTTTATGTAGCACTTGTCGAACGCCTTCTGAAAACCGAAATACACTACATCTCCTGGTTCCCCCCTATCTAACCTACTAGTTACATCCTCAAAGAACTCTACAAGATTTGTTAGTGTGACTTCCCTTTTGTAATCCTTTGACGACTCGGCCTAACCATGTTATGGTCTTCCAAGTGCCCCACTACGACTTCCCTAATTAAGGATTCTAGAATTTTCCCCTCCACTCCCCTCCTCAGACCCATCTTCAGTTTCACTTCCTTCTTTCATAGCGGTGCTGCGTTTGCGATCTTCCAGTCAATGGGACCGTTCCAGAATCCAGAGAGTTTTGGAAGATCAAAGACAAGACGTCCACTCTCTCAGCCGTCACCTCTTTTAAAACCCCGGGATGTGGGCCGTCAGGTCCAGGGGATGGGTCATTTTTCAATCCCAACAGTTTCCTTAATCCTTTAGTGTTAATTCCCTTAAGTTGGGCACTAACATTAGCTTCTTGGTTCCCCTCTATATTTGGTAAGTGTTCACTGTCTTCTAATGTGAAGACAGAAGAAAAGTATTTGTTTAATGACGGCCATATCTTTATCTCCCATTATAATTCCTCCTGTCTCTGCCTGGAATGGACCCACATTCACTTCTGATACCACACACAGCACATGCACACATACACACACACACAGCACACGCACACACACAGCACACACGCACACACACACGCACACACACACACACACAGCACACACGCACACACACACACACAGCACACGCACACACACGCACACACGCACACAAAGCACACACACACACACGCGCAAACAGCACGCACACAGCACACAGCACACACACACAGCACACACGCACACACACACACGCGCACACACACGCACACCCAGCACACACACACACACGCACACACGCACATACACACACGCACACACGCACATACACACACACACAGCAGCATCAGCCTGGAATATGTTAGCTGAAAGTTTCTAATATGGGGGTATGAACTTTGAAGCGCTCTGAGACGCCGTCCGGCGTGGAGGGCGCTATGTGAATCCAAGTTGTTGTTGTTGTTTAGTTCAGAGGTGAGAGCGCTGGCGGCTGAGCCGGACTGGCACAAGAGAAAATAAACGAAAAGAGAGCATTAATGTTCAGTGCGAGTAGATTACACCGGGTTTAAACATTTCCTTGAGTTCAACAATCCTCGTTGAGTGCTGCCAAACTTTAAGAGGGCTCCTCCCCCTCTTATTCGCCTGTTGCTAAAGTTTTTTGGGTGTGTCTCATATAACTGTACAGTTTATTTCCCTTCTCACTGAGTGTGAGTGTGAGTGTGAGAGAGACAGAGCGAGAGAGCAAGAGATTACTGGTGGACTTTCTGTAAACTGGTTGTGAGGAACTCTGTGTCTGGGATCATGAACACTGAAGTCCTTATTCTGGGTAAGTTAGTTCAGGACATCAGTGTGTGAGCAATACATGTCCTGTCTGTTTGACTGTGTTAAACTCTCGTTTGCTTCCTCTTTATTCTCTGTACTCTTCCTCTTTATTAGATTCTTGAAACAAAACTCTACAGTTCTTCCTGTCTCGCTGTCTCATCCACCACTCTGTCTCTCTCGCTCTCTTCTCCTTCTCATCTCTTTCTTTCTGCCTCTCTGAGATATAAAACACTCAGGTCTTCTTACTCTCTCTCGTGTCGGACACTGGAGACCTTCTCTCCTTTCACTTCTCCAAAATTATAACAAGAATAATAATCTGTGTATTTGATGTATCACCTTTTCACGTCGGGAAGACGTCTCAAAGTGCTTCTTGTTATTTTACTGTAAAGTGCAGTGAAGGTGTAGTTTTTAGGCAAACGCAGCAGCCAATTTGCACAGAGCACTGTCCCGCAAACAACTGTGAATTTTATCGTGGAGGGAGGGAGGGAGGGAGGGGTGGGGGAGGGGGGAGGTTTTGTTGGGATAGTTCCTTCTTTAATTTGCTGCCAACTGAGCCCGGCTGACAATATCCACTTTATTTCCAATCGATTCACTACCCTTTCGGGCGGATCATTCCAAATTCCAACAACTCGATGAGTGAAAACATTTCTTCTAACCTCCCGTCTACTTCTTTGATAGATATCTTAGGACTGTGACCACGAGTCACAGACACACCTACCAGCGGAAACAGCTTTTCCCTATCTCACCTGTCGAAACCTTTCATGATCTTGAAGACCTGTATCAGGTCCCCGCGTAACCTTCTCTGCTCTAATGGGAAAAGTCCTAACTTCTCCACTGTCCTCATAGCTAAGGTTCCCCACTCCTGGTATCATTCTCGTGAATCTCCTCTGCACCCTTTCCAGTGCCTTAATATCCTTCCTGAGGTACGGTGCCCAGAACTGGATCCAGTACTCCAGCTGAGGTCTAACCAGTGTTTTGTACAGATTAACCATAACCCCTACTCTTATACTCTATGCCCTACTAATAAAGCTCAGTACACCAAATGCCCTTTTTACTGCCCTGTCTACCTGCTCCGCTCCCTTTAATGATTCGCTTACTTGAACACCCAGATCTCTCTGTACATCCACCCCCCTAAGATTGAGCTCCAAGTCTATATTGCCTCCTATCATATTTCCTCCCTAAGTGTATCACCTCACATTATCCACATTGAAATCCATCTGCCACGTCAGCCCATTCCACCATTCTGTATGTCTGCCTGCAGTTGGTTATAGTCCTCCTCACTATTTACTACCCGACCTAACTTTGTATCATCTGCAAACTTGGAAATAGTGCTCCCTGTGCCCAAGTCCAGATCATTAATATATATTAGAAAGAGCAGTGGTCCCAATACCGATCCCTGGGGGACACCGCTGCACACCTCCTTCCATTGCAAGAAACACCCATGAACCACCGCCCTCTGCTTTCTGTCACTCAGACAGTTCCTAATCCAAACGGCACTGTCCCCTTAATACCGCGGGCCTCTAATTTTTTTAAAAGTCATTGCCTTTGATTGGCCCCACCCGACCTTTAACTAACCTTTTTTCCTTTATGTGCTTGTAAAATATTTTAGGATTCCCCTTTATGTTACCCGCTGACCTCTTCTCATGCGATCTTTTTGCCTGTCTGATTGCTCCTTTAAGGTCACGTCTGCATTCTCTATAATGCGCTTTGCTATCCTCAGTATCTTGCGTCTTCCAATTGTCGTACGCCATCTTCTTCTTTTTCATCCTAGACAGAATATCCCTGGCCATCCAGGACGGCTTGGTCCTCGCACATTTCCCTTTTGTGGGAACATATCTATTTAGACCCTGAGCTATCGTATCTTTGAAGATCTCCCATTGCTCATGAGTCATTTTACCTGCATTCTTACTTGCCAGTCCACCAACTCCAGGTCCCTTTTTAGCCCATCAATATTAGCCCTTTTCCAGTCAAACATTTTCACCCTTGACTGTACTTCTTCCCTGTTCATGAGTAATCTAAATCTAATAATATTATGGTCACTGTTACCTCGATGCTCCCCTACCGAAACCTGTTCAACCTGACCTACTTCATTCCCCAGGACTAGATCCAGCAATGCTTCCTTCCTCGTAGGACTGAAGACATACTGCTCAAGAAAATTTTCCTGTACACAGTCTATGAATCTTTCTCCTGCGCTGCCCTTAGTGCTGCTATTTTGCCACTCTATATTGGGATAATTGAAATCCCCCATTATGATAACTCTGTTTGCCCTACATCTGTCCGTGATCTGGTTGCAGATCTGCTCCTCTTCTCCTTCCCACTGTCTGGTGGTCTATAGTAAACCCCTATCAGTGTAACCACTCCTTTCTTATTTCTTATCTCTAACCAGATGGATTGTGTTGTCGGGCCCTCCAGAGCCTCGTTCTTATTTAGGTGCGATTATTGGCCGGGACACCGGGAGAGAGAGAAACTCCCTTCTCTTTTTATATAGTGCTGTGGGATCTTTGACATCCACCAGAACGGATGGGGAGTGAGGTTTAATGTCTCATCTGAAGGACAGCGTCTCCGACATTACAGCGCTCCCCCAGCACTGCACTGGAGATTCAGCCGAGACTGTTTTTATGAGCATTAGTGCCCAGTGTAAACCCGACCCCCAGCAACAACAACAACAACTTGCATTTCCGCCCCTCACTCAGGATAGCGCCCCAGAGCGCTTCACAGTGGCGGTCGAAGAGGAACGTGTTCAGGCACGACCTGAAGGTGGGGAAGGAGGGGTCAAGGTGGAGGGATTGAGGGAGAGAGATCCAGAGTTTCAGGGTGTAGCGGCTGAAAGTGCGGCCACTGATGGTGGAACAGAGGGGACGAGCGACCATCAGGAGGTCAGAGCCAGTCGAGCAGAGGCAGCGGATAGTGGGTTGGGGAGTAAGCAGGTCGGAGAAATTAATCCGTCCGGTGATAGGGAGCCAGTGGAGTGGCGAGGGCTGGTGTGATGGGGTACGGGGTTCAGTGTGTGTAATAGAGAGCCAGTGGAGTGGCGAGGGCTGGTGTGATGGGGTACGGGGTTCAGTGTGTGTAATAGGGAGCCAGTGGAGTGGCGAGGGCTGGTGTGATGGGGTACGGGGTTCAGTGTGTGTAATAGGGAGCCAGTGGAGTGGCGAGGGCTGGTGTGATGGGGTACGGGGTTCAGTGTGTGTAATAGGGAGCCAGTGGAGCCTGGTTAGAGCTGGTGATGGGAACGTGTTAGATTTCATGTTGTTGCACTGTGATAATTATAATAATAATATTCCTTGCATTTGATATAGCGCCTTATCACACCTTCGAATAGTCTCAAAGCGCTTCACAGGATCGACTGTAAAGTGAATTGACTGTATGTTTTGTGGGCGAAACGCAGCAGCCAATTGTGCACAGCAGCGTCCCCACAAACAGTCGTGGATTGAAGTGAAAAATGTATTATTATTATTTTATGAAGGAATTATTACCCCGGAAAAGCAATCCACCAATCGACTAACAACCAGGTTCCTACTTACTGTTCGGTACACAGTGGATTGTGGAGTAAGGAAACTTGCTCAACATTCCCCCTGTGCCGGGAATCGATCCCCGGTCCTCTCGCTTGCGAGGCGCGCTCTCTAAACACTGAGCTACAGGACTCCACGGTCAGATTGTCAGATGTTGTAAACGTGTCTTCTGGTTGTTTTCAGTGATGTGGGTTTGTAGTGTGTGGTATCCACAGCTCGTCACAAGCCGGGAGTGCCCGGATGGTTATGAGCTTTCACCGGAATATGTCTGTGTTGGTGAGTCTCAAACTACACCTACAATCACAGCTGCTCCTCCTCTCTCTCCCTTCTCCACCCTCCTCCCTCCCCTCTTCTCTCTCCCTCCCCTCTTCTCTCTCCCCTCTACACCCTCCTCCCTCCTCTCCTCCCTCTCTTCTATCCCTGCTTTCTACCTCTCCTACCTACCCTCCTTTCTCACCTCCCTCCCCTCTCCCTCCTCTCCTATCTCCTCCCTCCCCTTCTTTCCTCCCTCCTCTCCTCTCTCTTCCCTCCACTCCTCTCCTCCCCTCCTCTCTCCTCCACCTTTATTCCCCTCCGTTATCTTTTCTCTGTCCTCACATTTTAAACCCTCCACAGTTGTGCTCCACTGAGACCGATTGCCCTGATGCCTCCGCTCGGCTGGCAATAGCCTTCTCCCTGTCCCCTTCCTGTCTCGCTCCACCATCAGTATCGAGCCTTCAGGCTTTCTGCCCCCACCCCCTGGAACTCCCTCCTGGAGCCCCTGTGCCTCACCCTCTCACTTGTCTCCTTCAAGACCCGTCTCAAGACCTTCTCATGTTGGTTATGGTTCGACGTTGTCTGAGTCTCTGTGTTCCTGACCAAAGCTGTTTCCCTTCTGAGCAGATACAGACGAGTGTGAGACTTATGGTGATTCAACGTACATTACCTCACTGTGTGGTTCATACACACTTTGTCACAACGTACCCGGGTCCTACTACTGTACCTGTCAACAAGGCTACGTCAGTCCTTCTGGAACAACTAATTTCACCCAAAAGACAGAGTGCGAAGGTGAGCACAATTCTCTGTTGTACATTTTGAAACCAGGTATTAATTTATTGCTCTGTGTCTCTCTGGAGTTGACAGTCACAGCCTGATATTCTCTGTTGTATTCTCCATGTCTTTCTCCCCTCATCCTCCCCCTCTCATCCCTCCTCTTGGGTAACTCAGGCTCACCCCCCCACCAACCTCTCCTTCCCTCCACCCTCTGCGCCACCATCTCTGGGTAAGTCTTCAGTCCATAGGTTCTTAACCTTTGGCTCTCTGTCCCTCTGCCCCTCCATCTCGTCCCCTCTCTTTCTGCCCTAATTTGCCTCAAATCAAATCTAGCAAATCGAGAGCACTCGCCTCACAAGCGAGAGGACCGTTAGGCGAGGGCGAAACCTTGTGTTCAATTGGCTGCCATGTTTCTCCCACAAAATACAGTCAATTCGCTTACAGTCTGAAGCACTTTGAGATGTATCAACAATGTTGGGGAGGATAAGTTTGCAGAGCTATAGGGAGAGAGCGGGGCAGTGGGATCGAACTGGACAGCTCTGTTCAAAGAGCCGTCACAGACACGATGGACCGAATGGCCTCCTTCTGTGCTGTAAAATTCTGTGATTCTTTCATGCTATGAACACTACAAGGTGTGGTATATCAAAAGCAAGGATTATTATTATTAAATCCCAACACACTGAGGTCACCTTGGACCATTCCAATGCCCTCCGCGCTGGTCCCCCACCTCCACCACACACAAACTTCAATTAATTAAAAACTCCGCAGCCAGAGAATTAGAAACTCCTCACGGAACTCTGTGCCCCCATCACCCCAGTGCTTTCCAGGCTCCACTCACTCCCAATCACTGAACGGATCGATTTCAAGATCCTCTCACTCGTTTTCCAACCCCTTCAGGCCCTCGCACCTCCCTACCTCTCCGATTTGGTTGTCCCCCATTCCCCCACCAGCTGCCGTCACTCGGCCTTCACTCGGCCGGCTCCAGCCTCCTGTTTGTCCCTCATCCACTCCGCTCCACCATTGATGGCTGTGCCTTCAGCCACTGATCCCCAAAACTCTGGAACTCTCCCCCTCAATCTCTCCGTTTTGCCCCTCCCTCCACACTTTCAAATCTCGCCTAAAAAACCTTCCTTTTTTGCTTAGCCGAGTGTCTGACACATGAGGAAGCCCATCACCATTGCTCAAGAGTATTCAAGTCAAATTTAACATTTTAAATATCTCGATTAAATCGTCCTCAACTTTGTGAACACCAGAGATTATATATTACATCATATTTAACATTATATGAATATTAAAGTATGCAACCAAGGTAATCCAACCCGTCTTAGAATACGAAATACAAGTAATGGATGGGACGGAACTTGCCAAGAGGGGGGAAGCTGAGAGGCGTTAGTTGACTTGTCTCTCTCTGTGTCACAACACAAACAGAATGCTCGGCTGAATTGTGAAATCTTTTGAGATCAGATCCCCAGACGTCACACTCGGACTGTACAGTGTCTGGTCCGGCTGCACCTTGAGCTGCATCAAGTTCTGGTCACTGTGACATGAGGGGCTGCCCAGGTCCCAGAGGAGAGTAACGAGGATGGTCCCCAGTGTTAGAGCAATGAGCTACGGGCAATGATTAGACAAGCGAGGGGGCTCTTCCGTTCTCAGAAGGTGTCTCAGAGGAGATCTTATAGAGGTGTGTAACATTGTAAATGGGATTGAATCCCAGATCAATACATTGGGATGCACTGAGACAGCGGAACAAGAGGCCACGAGGTTAGAGATGCAAAGGGGCAATTTCAGGACAGACACCAAGAAGTGTTTCTTTACCCAGAGGGTAATTAACAAATGGAACAGGTGGTGTGGAAGGGGTTGAGATCAGGACAATGGGAATCGTTTAAAAAGCAGCTCAATGCTGTGATGGGGACGGTCGGGCGAGTGTTGTGGAGGTGATGAGATCAGATGGGGTGAAGGGACTTCTTCAACCAAACCCATCTTGGGATCTGTGAAGGCTGAAGTGGACCTTTTCGTGTTCATTTGCTGCCCTCAGGAGGAGGGAAAGGTTTGGTGCAACTTGAAGTCCGATTCCTTGGCAGCTTCGTATTACATGAGCCTTTCAACAGTAAAGAGACTTGTTCAGGCGGACGTTAATGATCCCTGTGGCCCTGTTTGTGGCAATTTGTTTGCGCAAAATTGGCTGCCGTGTTTCGCCCACAAAACACATGGTCACTTTACAGCAAGTCATGTGAAGCGCTTTGAGGCACCTCAATGACATGATGACATGTGTGACCCCGACACATGTCTGTGCTTCCCTCAGTGTTTTGGGACATCCTCCCGATGTGAAAGCGCTATACCAATGTAATCTTCTTCTTGTTGCTGTCTCGTATCCAGTTAGAATGAGGCTGCTTTTGAAGCTGGAAGGAAAGAAAGAAAGAGAGGGAGGGAGGGAGAGAGAGGGAGAGAGAGAGGGAGAAAGAAAGAAAGGGAGAAAGGGAGAAAGAAAGAAAGAAAGAAAGAAAGAAAGAAAGAAAGAAAGAAAGAAAGAAAGAAAGAAAGAAAGAAAGAAAGAAAGAAAGAAAGAAAGAAAGAAAGAAAGAAAGAAAGAAAGAAAGAAAGAAAGAAAGAAAGAAAGAAAGAAAGAAAGAAAGAAAGAAAGAAAGAAAGAAAGAAAGAAAGAAAGAAAGAAAAGGAAAGAAAGGGAGAGATAAAAGGAAAGAAAGAGAGAGATAAAAAGAAAGAAAGAGAGAGATAAAAGGAAAGAAAAGGAGAGAGGTAAAAAGATTGAAATACCAAGAAAGAAAACGAGAGGAAGAGAGAAAGAGAGATAGTGGAAAAAAATAGATAGAGGTAGAGAAAGAGAGAAAGAATGATAGAGGAAGAAGGAAAGAGAGAGAAAGAGAGCAAAAAATAGAGGAGCAATAGAAACAAAATTGTATTTTGATCAGTTCCCGTTCCTGAGCTTATTTCAGCGGCTGTGCCTTCAGTCACTGTGTCCCGAGGCTCTGGGACTCACTCTCCCCCTTCGCTTCGCCCCTTCTCCTCCTACTGTCAGGTCTCTGCTGAAGACCTTTCTTTTCGTCCACACCTTTGGTCACCTCCCCCTCCCCCTCCCCTCCCCTCCCCCTCCCCCTCCCCCGGCCCCTCCCCCTCCCCTTGGCTCCTCCCCCTCCCCCTGGCTCGGCCCCGGGATCTGTTACTGTTTAGCGCTCTGAGACGCCGTATGGTGTGGAGGGCACTATATAAATCCAAGTTGTTGGTGTTGTGATCCTTTCTCATCAGATGTTTTTATTACAGATATCAATGAGTGTCAGTCCAGACCGTGTGGCTCCTACGCAACTTGTCACAACACAGAGGGAGGTTTCTACTGTGTGTGTGACCGAGGGTTTGTCTCCAGCACCGGAGAAGGTTCTTTTAACACCACCACAACTCGTTGTAAAGGTGAAGACTTGACTGTCCCTCTCAGACAATCCCACAGCGATGGCACTGCGCTTCTGTTTGGCTTTGATCTTCCTTGACATCTGCTGTCGTTGCTCCATATCTGTCCCGTCCATGGAAATGGGCAACACAGTAGGAGGCCTTTTGGGTGGGTGGGTCGAGTGAGTGAGTGAGTGGGTGGGTGGGTGGGTGGGTGGGTGAGTGAGTGAGTGAGTGAGTGAGTGATGAGTGAGTGAGTGAGTGAGTGATTGAGTGAGTGAGTGAGTGAGTGAGTGAGTGAGTGAGTGAGTGAGTGAGTATGTGAGTGAGTGAGTGAGTGAGTGAGTGAGTGAGTGAGTGAGTGAGTGAGTGAGTGAGTGAGTGAGTGAGTGAGTGAGTGAGTGAGGAGTGAGTGAGTGAGTGAGTGAGTGAGTGAGTGAGTGAGTGAGTGAGTGAGTGAGTGAGTGAGTGAGTGAGTGAGTGAGTGAGTGAGTGAGTGAGTGGTGTGTGAGTGAGTGAGTGAGTGAGTGAGTGAGTGAGTGAGTGAGTGGTGAGTGAGTGAGTGAGTGGGTGAGTGAGTGAGTGAGTGAGTGAGTGAGTGAGTGAGTGAGTGAGTGAGTGAGTGAGTGAGTGAGTGAGTGAGTGAGTGAGTGAGTGAGTGAGTGAGTGAGTGAGTGAGTGAGTGAGTGAGTGAGTGGGTCGGTCAGTCAGACAAAGAAACAAACAAAGAAACAGAGAGGAAGAGAAGAAGAGAGATAGAGGAAAAAATAGAGGTAGAAAAATAAAGATAGAGGAAGAAGGAAAGAGAGACAGAGAGAGAGCAAAAAAGAGAGGAGAAAGAAAAACAAACTTGTATTTTTATCAGTTCCCTTTCCTGAGCTGATTTCGGAGATGTGATCCTTTCTCATCAGATGTTTTTATTACAGATATCAATGAGTGTCAGTCCAGCCCATGTGGCTCCTACGCAGGTTGTCACAACACAAACGGAGGTTTCCGGTGTGAATGTGACAAAGGGTTTGTCTCCGGCCCCGGAGAAGGTTCTTTCAACACCATCACTCACTGTAAAGGTAAAGACTTGACTGTCACTCTCAGACAATCCCACAGCGATGGCACTGCGCTTCTGTTTGGCTTTGATCTTCCTTGACATCTGCTGTCGTTGCTCCATATCTGTCCCGTCCATGGAAATGGGCAACACAGTAGGAGGCCTTTTGGCCCATTGCTTGTGCCAGTGTTTGCTCCTCCAACAAACCATCCACCCATATCCCCATTCCCTGCTCCTTCTTCATGTCCTGCAGTCGCTTTCCTCGGCATGTGCCCGGCTCGTATCCCTGTGGAGACCATTGCATGCACTGTTTGTGCTCTGGGAGCTACACTGTGTGAGTGAGTGAGTGAGTGAGTGAGTGAGTGAGTGAGAGAGAAATAGACGGAGAGAGGGAGGGAAGGAAGGGAGGGAAGGGAGGGAGGGAGCGAGATAAAAAGATAGAAAGAGCAAGAAAGTAACAGAGAGGAAGAGAAAAAGAGAGATAGAGGAAAAAAATAGAGGTAGAAAAAGAGGGAAAGAAAGATAGGCGAAGAAGGAAAGAGAAAGATAGAGATAGAGAGATAGAGCAAAAAAGAGAGGGGAAAGAAAAGCAAACTTGTATTTTTATCAGTTCTCTTTCCTGAACTTATTTCGGAGTTTTGATCCTTTCTCATCAGATGTGTTTATTACAGATATCAATGAGTGTCAGTCCAGCCCATGTGGCTCCAACGCAACTTGTCACAACATAAAGGCAAGTTTCCAGTGTGTATGTGACAAAGGGTTTGTCTCCAACACCAGAGAAGGTTCTTTCAACACCATCACTCACTGTAAAGGTAAAGACTTGAATGTCACTCTCAGACAATCCCACAGCGATGGCACTGCGCTTCTGTTTGGCTTTGATCTTCCTTGACATCTGCTGTCGTTGCTCCATATCTGTCCCGTCCATGGAAATGGGCAACACAGTAGGAGGCCTTTTGGCCCATTGCTTGTGCCAGTGTTTGCTCCTCCAACAAACCATCCACCCATATCCCCATTCCCTGCTCCTTCTTCATGTCCTGCAGTCGCCTTCCTCGGCATGTGCCCGGCTCGTATCCCTGTGGAGATCATTGCATGCACTGTTTGTGCTCTGGGAGCTACACTGCGTGAGGGGCAGTGTATAAATGCACGTTGGTGTTGTTTGGCTTCGAGTGTGGCTATTGAAGGCTTTAACGCAGTTTCTAAGGATGGGTCTTTGACCCTTGGTTGCTGAAGAATAAAATGAAATCATTCTTGTTGCAACAATGCACTGTACACTGACTTCCGTCCTTTGGATGAGACGTTACTCCGAGGTCTCGTCTGTCTGTTCAGGTGGATGTCAAAGATCCTGAAGGCTATTCCAAAAGAGACGGAAGTTTCTCTCTCCCAGTGTCCTGGCCGACAATCCCCCAGACACAATTAGTCACTAACTCCATGGCTCTCTGTGTGACATGACTGTGTGCAACATTGGCTGCTGTCTTTTCTCACAAAACACAGTCACTGCACTTCACAGCAAATCCTCAAAATGTATGAATTAATGCATTTCCCTCTCAACACGAGGCTCTGTGAGCCGATCACCCCGATCCTCACCAGTCTTCACTGCTTCCCCTTCTCCCAGAGGATTGAGTTCAAAATCCTTGTCCTCTCATTTAAAGCCATCCACGGCCTTGCTCTGCTCCATCTCTGTGACCTCCGAGAACCATACCAAATTGTCCACTCCCTCTGCTCAGCGGCCACTGGCCTGCTCCACGTCCCCGCCATGCCCACGCCACCATCGGCAGTCAGGCCTTCAGCCTTTTTGCCCCCACCCTCTGAAACTCCATCCCAGAGCCACTCATCCTCGCTCCCTCCCTTGACTCCTTCAACGCCTTTCTCAAGACACTCTTTAACCAGGCCTTTGGTCAGCCTTCCACCTTCACCCTCTTTACATCAGACTGCAGCTCAGGTCCAAACCCTTGACTGTACTATATGTCCTCCCTTCGTGAAATGCAATGTATCAATGCGATTTGTTGCTGTTCAACAATGTTTAGAGAAGATGGAGACTCTTTAGGCTTAAAAGAAGATGTCTTAGAGTTGGCCATGTAGAGATGTACAAGAATTTTCATGGGATTCAGACAGTAAACACCGAACAATACTTTCCATTGCACCGAGGCAGCAGGACAAGCTGGCACAGCTTCAGAGTTGCATTGGGCAGGGCGGGCACCAGGAAGTATTTCTTTACCAAGTTGGTATTGATGCCTTGGATCATTTATCAGGAAGGCTGACTGAGGCCTGGACGCTGGATTCATTGTAGAAACCTCTTGATGCTGTTAATGGATGGATGGTTGGACGAGTGTTGTGGAGATGATGAGATCAGATGGGCCGAAGGGACGTCTTCACCCAAACCCATCTTGTGATCTTGTGTGTGTGCTCAAAGAGGAAGTCATTGAGACAGATCTTAAATGATGTGAGGGAGGGAGGAAGTTGAAGGAAGTCCAGGGTGGAGAATGTGTGGGTCAAACGACCATACAATTACCGAAGCTATAGTCCATGTTATACCCATCTTTTGATCTTATCACAGAAAGTCCACGTTCCCTGAAACTGTGGCTGTTTTCACACAGACAACAATTACTAGGATTTTCTTATTACAGATCGTGACGAGTGTGAAAGCAGCCCATGTGGCTCCAACGAAACTTGTCACAATACGGAGGGAAGTTTCCACTGCACGTTTGATCCAGGTTCTGTATCCCCCAACAACACAACCAATCACTCTGAAGGTAAAAGCTTGACTTGCCCTCTCGTCAATCTCAGAGCAATGACGCTGAGCTTCTGTTGGAATTCTGCTCCCATCCTTTGGAATTCCATCCTTTGGAATTCCATCCCTCAGTCCCGTCGCCTCACTCCCTCCCCGTCTGCTTCAAGGAATGAGTCAAGATGCTCCTCTTTGACAGCGCATTCGGTCACCCTCCTACCCTGACCCTCCCTGCCTTCCACCCCTCCTAATACCAATCCCCAGCTCAGGCACAATTCCTGACTGTCCAATACCTTGTGATGTCCTCCTGATGTGAAAGGCGCTGTGTTAATGTAGTTTGTGCTTTTGTTGTAGTCAATCCCAGAGCAGTGGCGCTGTACTTCTGTTTGTGTTTGTTCAGTTTGAAATCAATCCTTTCAAAGCCAGGGAGCCAGTGGAGGCTGGCGAGGATTGGGATAATTGGGGTGTGGAGGTTGGTACAGGTGAGGATAAGATGGGTCTCAGATTGGCCTTCCCTGGGCACTTCCTTGATGTCGTCTCATGTCCTTGTTTTGGGGCTACGATCCTTTGTCATTCGGGTTTTCTTGTTGCAATAAACTGTCTCTCAGATTGGATTCATCCTGATCTGAAGCACTTGCTGATCTCTTTTCATCTCCTGCAATCATTGGACCTGCAATCGTAATAACATAAGAATTATTGGACAAAAGAAACCAAGGTCCATCCAGTTCACCTTGTACCATCCTGGCAGTCGCATGCACAGGTCGTGTCCCAAACTATATATGACGGAGAGGTCAGGCATGAGATCAGATGAGCTTTTACATGTTGGAAGAAAGGATCCAAGTTACGATATTTATTATTTGAATTTCAGAAATCGATTTGAAGCTCTTCTTTGACTTCAATATTCTGAACATCTCCAACCTTCCGGTGAACTATTCTCAATCATTATCGGTAAGTTATGAGCAGGGAAAATAGAAAATTGGGGAAATGTTTCCCAAAACCTGTGGAGACATTTCATGCGTTCTGCGGAAAATTGCAGGGGTGGTTGATGCCATTCAGGGGTACATTTTACAGCCAAACCTACATTTTTTTCACTTTATTGATAAAAACTAAACATGAAGAAATAACCCTTATTAGATTGTTGCAAAAAAAAAGATTAAAGCTTTCTTTAACAAAAACCCCAGAACAACTGCGGGGCTCCAGGAGGCCGGAACCTGCTGTCTCTCAGGACCCATCACCACACAGAGAGAGAGAGAGAGAGAGAAAACGAGGGAGAGAGAGAATGTGTGCGAGAGAGAGAGAGACATATACAAACGCAGAGATAGACACACACACACACACACACACAGAGGAGAAACTCACATTCAGATACTCACAAACACAGAGGGACACAGACACACACACAGCATCAGGAGTGCTCCTCACTGAGCATGGCATCAGGAGTGCTCCACACTCAGCATGGCATCAGGAGTGCTCCACACTGAGCATGGCATCAGGAGTGCTCCACACTGAGCATGGCATCAGGAGTGCTCCACACTGAGCATGGCATCAGGAGTGCTCCACACTGAGCATGGCATCAGGAGTCCTCCACACTGAGCATGGCATCAGGAGTCCTCCACACTGAGCATGGCATCAGGAGTGCTCCACACTGAGCATGGCATCAGGAGTGCTCCACACTCAGCATGGCATCAGGAGTGCTCCACACTCAGCATGGCATCAGGAGTGCTCCGCACTGAGCATGGCATCAGGAGTCCTCCACACTGAGCATGGCATCAGGAGTCCTCCACACTGAGCATGGCATCAGGAGTGCTCAACACTGAGCATGGCATCAGGAGTGCTCCACACTCAGCATGGCATCAGGAGTGCTCCGCACTCAGCATGGCATCAGGAGTGCTCCGCACTCAGCATGGCATCAGGAGTGCTCCGCACTCAGCATGGCATCAGGAGTGCTCCGCACTCAGCATGGCATCAGGAGTGCTCCGCACTCAGCATGGCATCAGGAGTGCTCTGCACTCAGCATGGCATCAGGAGTGCTCCGCGCTCAGCATGGCATCAGGAGTGCTCCGCACTCAGCATGGCATCAGGTGCTCTCCACACTCAGCATGGCATCGGGAGTGCTCCACACTGAGCATGGCATCGGGACCTCTCCACACTGCTGCAGATCATGCAACAACAACAACAAAATGTTGGGAGGATGTCCCAGACCTCTGCAGCTCATGTCCTCTCCCACACCAGATGCCATGACCCCATCACCTCACCCGCTCCCGGCTCTACTGGTTCCCCATCCCTCAGAGGATAGAGTTCAAAATCCTTGTCCTTGCCTATAAGGCCCTCCGTCGCTTTGCCCCTTCCTACCTCTGGGATTTGCTAACCGCTTCCTCCGCTCAGCAGTCTCCGGCCTGCTCGACATCCCCCGCCCGGACCACCCCCCCATCGGCGGTCAGGGCCTTCAGCCTCTCAGCACCAAACCTCTGGAACCCCATGCCACAGACCCTTTGCCTCAGTACCTCCATTGCCACCTTCAAGGCAAGTCTCAAGACCCTCCTCTTCAACCGTGCCTTCAGTCACCGTCCATGCGCTCCAACCTCCCTTACCCCAACCGCGCCCCACCCCGCTTGGGTCCAAATCCCTGACTGTCCAGCATCTTGGGACATTCTCCCAAAGTGAAAGGCTCCATACAAATGTAACTTTGTATTGTGTTGTACCCACAGGGTGTTGTGAAGTTGGTAGACAGCATTGTGAGCAACACGAAGCAGTGGGAGCAAATAGATCGCAGAGACAGACACAGGGCAGCTTCATCATTGCTGGACACAGTGGCAAACTACGTGTTGGAGACTTTCAATGCATCCAATGGAAGAGTGTCAGTAACATCCCAATATATAGGTAAATACACACAGTCTCTGCGCTCTACAATATACTATGGAATTGCTTCAGCCGGATGCCGATCAGATAGAACACACGCCCGGCCCTGATTCATTTGTATTCCTACCTACACCGGTAGATTCAGACAGAAATCCAGTTAATCCGGTCAAAATACCAAGCTGGTCACTGCTGAATGCCTTCTGTGTCTGGAGTGGTTCCAGGAGGGAGATGGGACGAGTCCAATTCTGATTGATTGACAGCGGACTCCAGCCAGTCACAAGTCGGGCTGTCAATCAGGGCGGGGGAAGAGGGACGGGGAATAAACAAGGGAGGGAATGGGAGGAGTGATTGATTGACAGCCGGAGCTGCCTGTGAATGGGTGGAACCCATCCGCTCACGAGCGGCCTCAAGGCTGTCTATCACCTCGGAGGCACCGCTAATGGTTCCCCTTCCTGACACCAATGGTAATGGGAGGGAGGAGGCACCGCCCTCACTCCTCTCTGGGTGGGAATGTTGTAACCAAGCAAAGCTTACTAGATTTTTACTGGATAAATCTGTGACGATATTTCAAGTTAAAATACCTGATGTCTGTTTGGTTAGTGAACATTGCTTCGAATGAATCAAGATTATTGCATATTATTATGTGGCACCACTGCCTCCCATCTGGTGGGCAGGAATAGTATTTTGGCTTAACCGCGGACACCTCTTAAGACAGACAAAATGGCTTTCCCCCATGTCTCTGGCTTAACCTTCTTCCCTTGTACACTATAAGCACTCTGAGACGCTACCTTCCAAAGGGCACTGTATAAACACATGTTATTGTTTCAATAATCCTTATATTTCTTATTGTGCTTTTCACAAGGGGAGGATGTCCCAAAGCGCTTCACAGGATATACTGTAAAGTGTAGCAACTGTGTATTTTGTGGGTTCGCACAGCAGCCAATGTCAGCTTAGTCTATGTGACTCCAAGTTCCCAAATAGAAGCTTGGACTGACAAACCTAATGACGGTGAGGCGAGAGTGGTACCACTGAGACAGGCTGGTGGGGGGATTACAGTGTTGACAAGGAGAAAGCTACATTGACCCCCATTTTCTGTTTAATTTACCAGATATTGAAGTGCATGTTGCTCCAGAGAATGTCTCTCTGAATGATACGCTGGCATTAGACATGACTAACAACACATTGAACACTTATTGGAGGATTGTAACTGCAGAGAACCAATCTGGTAATGTTTCTATGGCTTAATTACACTAACGCTCTCTTTGCCACACTGCCCAGCTCTCTTTTACCCAAACTACACACCATCCAGAACTCTAGAGCCCATGTCCCCTGTCACCCCCATCGTCGCTTGACTCCACTGACTGCCCCAACACCCCATGGATCAAGTTCAATATCCTCCTTCTTGTCTATAAATCCCTCCATCAATCTCCCCCCCACACCAACACACACACCTCTGCAACCCCCTTCAAATGCTGACCTGCCGGTACCCTTCTCTCAGCGGGCACCGGCCGCTTCGTGTTCCCCACCCAACCAGCCCCACCGTCAGCTGTCAGGTTTTCAGCCATTCTGTTTCCACTCACTGGAACTCCAACCCGGACTCCCTCTGTCTCCCTCATTCCCTCCTTCACCTCATTCAAGGTCTCTCTCAAGACCTTCCTCTTTGATCACACATTCAATCGTCTTTATCCCCTCTCCTCCCCAAACCCCTCGTGCCCACCCCTAGCTCGGGTACCCAGCCAGGATAGTGAAGCACGTTGAGACATTGGATTACCAAGAGAATTGGATTCCCAAGAGAGAAAAAGAGGGAGAGATTGTCACATAAGATGGACTCAATTCTGACATTCTGAGTTCAGCTCCAAAATCCCATTAACCCATCCCTTAAGGACGATATACAAGGAGAAGTCATTTGGAGTTGAAGGGGTTTAGCTGAAACCACATAGCTTGCCATTGAGAGCACTGTCTGGCAATTTTCCCACTGCTTGTCCAGCCAGAACCATCCTACCCATTAGGGCTTTGGCTTGTAGGGTTTACACCAAACAAGTGAGAAGCTTCCCTGCTCCCAAAGACTAGATGTTGTTATTGGCAGCTCTTTCAATGTAAACCTCTTCTTGACAGACAAACCTGTTGTTGGGTTCCTTGCCTACAGCAACATGGAAACCATTCTGGATGGGTACTTTGATGATGAAGAGAATAAAGTGTTGGCAGATTATCAGCTAAACTCAAAAGTAGTCACAATCACAAGCAAGAAGAACATTTCTGATCACATGGAACTCATGAATTTTACCTTGAAGCACAAAAAGGTCAGTTTTGGGCAACGATAACTTGCATTTACTCAACGTCTTTTATGTGGGGGTAGCATCTCGGAGCGCTTAACAGTGATGCCAATTTGGGGAGACGGAAGATGACTGTAGGTACGGTCAAAGACGAAGGTCTTCAGGTGCTACCTGATAGTCCAGGCAAATATTCCAATGCAGTGCTGGGGCGGTGCCGCATTGTTAGAGGTGCTGTTTTTCGGATGAGATGACTGTGCCCATTCCTGGAGCTATTTGAAAAGGGATGGGAGTTTGTCCCTGTGTCCTGGCCAACAGTCCTACAGTCAAATCGGTTACTCACTCCCCGGCTGTTTGCGAGATGTCCCTGTGTGTAAATTGGGTGCCATGTTCGCCTACAAAGCACCGTCATTACACTATGCAGTAGATCCTGTGAAGCTCTTTGGGAGGTCCTCCCAACTTGAGATATTGTATCAATTGCAAGCATTATTATCATTATTAATAATTATTATTATCTGTTTCTCTTTGAGAAAGAAAATGGACGCAAACAAAAAGCCACGGTGTGCTATGTGGAAGCACACGTCCGAGAGACAGGGCTGGTCTGTGACGGGCTGCCACGTGATAACCTCCACTGAAGAACACACCTCGTGCGGCTGTTCTCAGTTGGCCAGCTTCGCCATTCTCATGACTCCCTTTGACGTAGAGGTAAGGCACCGCATTCGTACATCTCATCCCAGAATTGTTGTTGTTGTTCGTGGCGGTTTGCAGGATGTTGTTGTGCATACATAGTATTGGCTGCTGTCTTTGGCAAATAAAACAGTCACTGCACTTCACAGTAGGTCCTGTGAAGCATTTTGACGTCTCAACAATATGGTTGTATTAATTCCCTGATCCCTAAGAATCCCTGACCCCCACGTCTGTTCTGCCCTTCCAAATCCTGCTGATAAGCTGCGCCAGTCTGTCATCAGCAATGCCCTGGGATACTGCGGACTGTCCAGGGTCAGGACCTGGACTCCCGAGAGAGAGAGAGAGAGAGAGAGACTGTGACAGAGGCTGTTACATATTGCAGTATATTGCAGTATTGTGAGTATTGGCATCAGGGAGCAATCAACTTCAATGTAAACCTATTCATGGCTACAGATAATAACAATTTATGTCATCGAATTGTACAATAAGTTATTTATTATCTATTTAATATGTAATACATTCACATTTTATTCAATCCCCGTTTCACCCACAAAATATACAGTCACTACACTTTACAGCATAATCTGTGAAGTGCTTTGAGACGTCTCGAAGACTTGATAAGGCTCAATGTTATTATATTATGTCAAATGCAAAGATTATTGTATACTCGTTGCAGCTCGGCTTGCAACCAAAGGATTGGATGTGGAATGTAGATTGACACTCAGACAAACGTTTCATCTTTGTCTATGGAGGACTCCTGTGGGAGGACTCCTTTTGGCTGTGCTGTTCTTTAAGAGGGCAACTAATTTTGCGTTGCTGTTGCAGTCCTTTCAGCATTGAAGTGCAGCCGTGTTGTTCTTTGTTCTTCAGTTGCATTTGATGGGCTTCTCTCTTTTGTCCATTATTTTGACGTACCCTTGAAAGGTTTGATTTTCGCTCAGGCATCTTTACAACGATCAATATAAGTGTGTAACTTATAATCGCGGGACATCCTCCTGACGTGAAAAACACTGTAAAAATGAAATTTTGTGGTTGTTGCCGCGGTTTAGCTTTGTCTGTGTTCTTTATTTTGTTCCCACCGCCGCTTGGCTGTGCGCCTGCTCTCTGACACAGGATGACACAGCCCCACTTTGACTTGACAGCCACCATGTGTAACCGCAGGGAAGAAAGCAAAACTGAAATACTTTTTGGTCATAATTTCTGAACCATAGGAGATACCAGGAACCAAATCCTCCCATGTCACTGCCAGTGCAAGACCTTTCCGATGTGGAAAATCATGTCTCGTGTCAATCGGTTATTGAGATCCTTCTTGAAGTGCAGACAGACATTGTCGTTTTATTAGGATAGATTATATTTATACTTACTCTATATTATTTACAACAGCCTATACCATGCTGGACTGTGGGTGATGGTGAGCAGCTCGTTACAGTGTGACTCACAGCCTGAGATAGAGAAGGCGGGGAAACCAAATGGGCGGGAAAGTGTGCGGGGAAACGGACAACTCCAAGCGAACGAGACTGACAGAGGCCTATCAAATCCCCTCATAACCTTGAAAACTTCTATGAAGTCTCCTTTTAACCTTCTCTGCTCCAAGGAGAATAATCCCAGCTTCTCTAGCCTCGCCTAATAGCTGAAGACCCTCATTCCTGGTACCATCCTGGTAAATCTCCTTTGCACCCTCTCCAATGTCTTGACATCCTTATCTACCTGTCCTGCCACCTTCAAAGACTTAGTTATATGAACCTCCAGGTTTCTCTGTTCCTTTACCCCCTTTAAAGTTATACCATCAACTTATTTTGCCTCTCATCATCCTCCCAAAATCTCACACACACTGACACACACACCCTCCCCTCCCCTCTCACACACACTGACAGACAGAGCGGGAACGGGAGGCAGTGAGTAGTTGGTTCTATGAGCTACTTATTACCCGGAGGTAGAGTTTAAGGAGGAGGAGACTTTGTCAAGTTACCTGTGATGAGGAATGGATGCAGTGTAAATAGTTTTGAAGTTTACTTGAATTATAGTTATAAAAGTAAATATTGTTGAACAGTCAATGGATATAGATAGGTATAGACATGTTTAAGCAATATCACTTAATATAGCATTGAATAGAATTTAATATGGAATCCAATAGAATGTAATATAACTTAAAGATATTGCTGAAGCTTCAGGAATAGTGAAAAGAAAAGAATGTGAAGCAGACAGGTTATATGAGGAAGTTTGAATGCATGTTAAATGATAAATGTTAAGAGCTATTTTAAGGATAGTCCCTGATTGGGACGTCCCCCTGACGTGAAAGGTGCTTTACAAATGTAATTTTGTTATTGTTGTTGTTGATTCCCTGTCACTGGGTTTTGACTAAAACCTTGATAAATTACAAGATCGTCTGCAACGGTTTCTTGTTTCTCTGCTAATATAATGAGATCAATGTCTCTGTGAATGTGCGTTGTCTCGATGTTTCTGTAATGAGACATATTGTCTCTGTGTGACTGTAATGAGACACTGTCTGTGTGACTGTAAAGAGACGTGTTGTCTCTGTGTGACTGTAATCGACATTGTCTCCGTGTGACTGTAAAGAGACGTGTTGTCTCTGTGTGACTGTAGTGAGACGTGTTGTCTGTGCGATTGTAATGAGACGTGTTATCTCTGTGTGACTGTAAAGAGACGTGTTGTCTCTGTGTGACTGTAAAGAGACGTGTTGTCTCTGTGTGACTGTAATGAGACGTGTTATCTCTGTGTGACTGTAATGAGACGTGTTGTCTCTGTGTGACTGTAATGAGACGTGTTGTCTGTGCGATTGTAATGAGACGTGTTGTCTCTGTGTGACTGTAGTGAGACGTGTTGTCTCTGTGTGACTGTAATGACGTGTTGTCTCTCTGTCGCAGGTCGGGCCTGCCCTACACATCATCACTCAGGTTGGGATTATTGCCTCGCTCGTGTGTCTCACAATCTGCATCCTCACCTTCCTCTTCTGCCGAACGCTTCAGAGGGAAACCCGCACAATCTATCTGAACCTGTCTGTGAGCCTGTTCCTGGCAGAGCTTCTGTTTGTAACAGGAATAACCCGGACTAGCAACAAGGTACGAGTGTGTGTTCATGGTAAAGGACACGAGCGACTTGCAGTTAAATTGCTCCCTTCGTGTGGGGTTGTGGCTCAGAGTTCTTTAACGCATCTTTGTGTGTGTTCAGGATGTGTGTTTGTGCGTGTTGAGGAACACGGCTGTGCGTGTGTTCAGAAATATGGCATTAGGAATGGGTGAATGTGTGGTTTTGTTTGGGTTTTAATAAAAAGCTCTGATCAACAGAATCGCACCAGGGATCAGTGATATACGAAGTTCCCTTTCAGATCAGCTGTGCGATCATTGCCGGAGCCTTGCACTACCTGTTCCTCGCGGCTTTCACTTGGATGTTCCTGGATGGGCTGCAGCTATTCCTCCTGGTTAAAAACCTCAGCAGAATGAAAGCTTCCCACAGCTCCAGACTGAGAGAGATGGGTCTCTACGCCTTTGGTTACGGAATTCCTGCCATCATTGTGGGCATTTCTGCGGCTGTGAACCCCGGGGGGTTTGGGTCACCGCGATTGTAAGTCTGTAGCTCGGCTTCCGACCTCTGATGGGCAACAACACAATACATGAGGGGTGTCAGTCTGTCTCAGTCGGTAACTCAGAAGTTTGTGCGCTCAAGTCTCATCTTGGGACTTGTATAGTCGAAGCTGATGCTTCAATTCAGTGCTGGGATTGTGCTGCATTGTTAGAGACAACTTCCTTTAGATGAACCGTTAAACTGAGCTCTCGTCTGTACCTGTTCAGGGAGATGACAACAACAATAAAATGACATTTATAGACTACCTTTCACGTCAGGACGAAGTCCCAAGGCTCTGAAACATTAAGATCCTATGACATTATGAGAGAAGAGAAGGGAGTCTCACTCTCCGGCCTACAATCCCTCAGATAAAATTGATCACTCACTTCATGGCTGTTTCTGGGGCTTTGCTGTGTGCAAAATTGGCTGTCCACAAAATACACAGTCACTGCACTTTAAAGGATATGCTATGAAGTGCTTTGAGATGTCCTTCCGATGTGAAAAGCGCGGAGGAAATGTAAATTATATGGTATTGTTTTGACCCTATTATTTAAACCTGGGTCCCATCTGCTACATCAGTTTGCAGAGAGATAAGCAACAGCTGCTGAATCTCCGCAACTCCCACTTGTGGAACCATCTCTCAGTGGGAAGAGATGTGTGTCCGAGCTGTGGGGAGGAAGATGGTGGCAATGCTCCCACACATTCATTCCTGTGCTGTCCACCAGAAAGCTCGCGGGGTCTTCCTGGTACCTGCTATCCATCCAGTGCCATCTCAAACCCGCACTTGTTGGATATCAAATGACCAATAAAGTAGTGATTATTCTCCTTGGTGCGGGGAGTGGGGAGAGAGATAAGCGTTGTCTCCTTGGAGCTGAACTGGCACTAAAGTGGTCCGAGCTGGACACGGAGTGGGAACCTTGCCAACAGTGCTCCCCATGGCAAGTTATATGGTTTTAACTGGTTAGACTCCAGCAGTTACCCCAATGGACCCTCTGGGCTCCCCAAGCCTTGGCTCTTGACAACCTGAGCCAAATAATCTCTGAAATTAGGTAAACAGGACGCATTCCCCAAGGGAGAGCGAGAGGGTACGCATTCAATCCCAGACAAAGGAATGTCCATGTACAGGTGGAATGCATAGAGCTTCCAGTCTGGTTTGGATACTCATAAGCAGTGGTCATGGGTGTCTGCAACTTGGACACCCATCTGACCAAGAAGAAAAGCCTAACACATTAGGGGGAGTAAGATTCTGTAACTGCATCTCTTTTTGTGAACAGCTGTTGGCTGCAGTTACAGAGAGGATTTATCTGGAGCTTCCTTGGACCAGTCATTGCAATCATTTTGGTATTTATCACACAATGTTCTCAATTTTCTCTCCCCTTCCCCCCAGCCAAACCTTTATAACCTCCAGCAACTCCCTCTGCTCAGTCTGTTTCCCCCCCACCACAATCCCACCCCCCCCGGCCATCCACCCCACCACTGGCCGATGAGTTTTCAGCCATTCTGCCCCTGATGGAGCTTGACGCCCCCTGCCTTCCCACCTTTAAAAACTCGGCCAAAGACTCATCTCATCAGCACTGCATCTTTCCGATGAGACGTTAAGCCAAACTCCCCATCTGTTCCCTGTTCAGGTGGACATTAAAAATCCTACGATGCGATTGGAAAAGAGAAGGGAGTTTCCCTCTCTCTCTCCCAGTGTCCTGACTGACAATCCTCCACATAAAGCCGGTCATTCACTTCATGTCTGTTTGTGGAAATGCACAAATTGGCTTCTGCCTTCACCCTCAAAATACACAGTCACCGCACTTTACTGTATGACCTTGAGTCGTGTTTATGACATGATAAGGCTCTATAACTATTGTAAGTATTATTAGTATTCCATGACAGTTTCTCTGTAATATTATTTGGACTGAACAAGTAAAATTGCCTGTCGTTTGCAGATTAACACCATTCTCTTCATTGGAACTCTCTGGACTCTGAGGGAAAAGCTCTCCGGCCTGAACACACAAGTGTCCAAAATTAAAGACAAGAGGTTTGTTATACAGTTAATATTTGCGCTATAACAGCCATCCTCACATCTGGTACAGCCCTTTATCAAGTCGTCCAGATGTCGCAAAGAACTTTGCAGGAGACTTTCCTGTAACGTGCGGTGTATTTTGTTGGCAAACACGGCAGCCAATTCGCACACAACGACATCCCATGAACAGCCATGAAGTGAGTGGCCATTTTATCCGGGGAATTGTCAGCCAAGTACACCGGAGAGAGAAAGAGAGAGAGAGAGGGGGAAACTCCCATATCTTTTCCAATAGCGCTGTGGGATCTTTAATATTCACTTGCGCAGACGGACAGCTATCTTTAACATCTGATCCGTTAACTTTGCCGTGATGTTAGAGGCTATTATGTTTACGGTGAATATTCTTTCCACTTTGACGTCGCCTTCAGTCACCTGTACTCTCCTCAGCTCAGCGTCAAACTACACCACTGTTGAGCACTACCCCACGTGAAAGGTGCTGTATAAATCCAAGTTGTTCTTGTTGGCCGCCTGACATGAAAGGTGCTGTATCCCAATTGCAAGTACAGTATTATTATTGTTATTTTTCAGTCAAATGACTTGGAAGCACAGGAAGGCTTCATGTGAGGTGAGAAGTTATTGGCTTTGAGATGTGAAAGGTGCCGTATCGACCATTAATAATCATAGTCCTTACATTTGGTATAACACCTTTCATGTCGGGAGAACATCCCAGAACCCTTCCCAGGGTTCAGTGTAAAGCCCAGTTACTGTGTGTTTGTAGGTGACTGTGGCAGCCAGCGATGTCTGTGCAAACATCCGTGCAGTGAGTGAGCCGGTTATTTGTTGGTGTGAGCCTTACTCTGACGGTTGTCTTGTTCCTGGGCAGGATGCTGGCGTTTAAAGCCGTGGGGCAGGTGTTTGTCCTGGGCTGTACCTGGATCCTGGGAGCGTTTCACTTCCAGAAGGAAACGGTGGTCATGGCTTATTTATTCACCATCGTCAACAGCTTCCAGGGCGTCTTTATCTTCATCTTCCTGTGCGTTCTGAACAAGCAGGTAAGCCCCCCATCAGCGGGATGGCTTTCAGCCTCTCTGTCCTCGTCTTTGGATCCAAGACAGTAGAACAAGAGGACACGAGGTTAGAGTAGCAAAGGGGCAAATTCAGGACAGACACCAGGAAGGTTTTCTTAACCCAGAAGGTAATTAATGAGTGGGACAGGGCGGCCAGGAATTGGGGTTGAGGCCAGAACGCCGAGACTTATTTAAAAAGCAGCTCGAAGCTGTGATGGGGACGATGGTCAGGCGGGTGTTCTGGAGGTGATCAGATTAGATGGGGCAAAGGGACTTCGTGCTCCTGTTACAGGAATCTGCAGCCTTTTCTCTCATTAAGACGAAGGGTTAAGACAATAATTTCCTGCCCCATTTCCTCTTCATTAAAGGTGAGGGAGGAATATCGCTGGTGCTTTGCCAGAGTGAACAGAGGGGTGAGATCAAGCTACACGGCGGAAACGGTCTCTGCGAGTGCACAAATGACAGGAACATCGGTGAGTCTATCCTTCGTACAGCATTGCACTGGAGTATCAGCCAAGACTGTGCCCTCGACTTCCTCCATTGCCTCCATTGACGACGGTGCCTTCAGCCATTTCACCCCCATCTCTCAGCAACTCTCTGCCTCAATGCCTCCGCCTCACCACCTCTTTATCTATCCTCAATTCCCCGCCTTAAGACTTAGCTATTGGAAGAGAGAAGGGAGTTTCTCTCCTGGTGTTCTGGCCGACAATCCCTCAAATAAAATTGGTCACTCACTCCACGGCTGTTCGTAGGGACATCGCTGTGCACAAATACGCTGTCCACACTGTCCAAAGCCTCGTGTCATCCTCCCAACATGAAAGGCGCTATACAACTAGAATTTTATAAAAATATAACATAACAATCCTTGCATTTGGATACAGCGCTGTTCACGTCTTCTCGACGTCTCAAAGTGCTTCACAGAATAGACTGTAAAATGAATTGACTGTATATTTGGGGGTGAAACGCAGCAGCCAATTGGGCACAGCAGCGTCTCCACACACAGTCGTTGATTGAAGTGACCAATTTATTATCGTTTTCTTTCTTGAGGGATATTGCCAGGAATGTGGAGCAAAGAAACAATTTTGTTGTTGTTGTTGTTGCCACATATCCCAAAAGTTGAAGTGCTCATTTAATTAATTATGTTTCTTTATTTACCTGCAATTATTAATTTCTATGATTTGTTATATTTAATGTTATTTTTGTTTATTTTGTTAATTATTGTTATTTTTATTGCACGTGTGAGGCCGTGTGAATGATTTTCTGTGTCTCATCCTAGGCTGATGGCAGTGGGAAGTCTTTGGAACATTAATGTCTTCATCAGTCTGTGTGCGAATCATCGTGTGGACCCGAGGCAAACGGTACATCTTTGTGGTTACACAGAGGGAATTAGCAACTGGAACATGGTGGCCAGGAAGGGGGGGCGGGGGGTGAGGACAGGACGCTGGGACTGATTTAAAAAGCAGCTCAATGCAATGCTGAGGGTTATTCGAGTGAACATTGTGGAGAAATGAGATCCGATGGTCCAAAGGATCATCTTCATCCAAACCCACTATGTGATTCACATAACTCAGCCTCAATAACCTCAAATAATCTCCAACATTGCAGCGCTCCGTCCCCCTGACCCCCCCCCTCCCCCTGCACCCCCTCCCCCTGAGCCCCCACTCCCCCTCCCCCTGACCCCCCTCCCCCTGCCCCCCTCCCCCTGCCCCCCTCCCCCTGCCCCCCTCCCCTGCCCCCCTCCCCTGCCCCCCTCCCCTGCCCCCCTCCCCTGCCCCCCACTCCCCCTGCCCCCCCTCCCCTGAACCCCCTCCCCCTGCCGCCCCTCCCCCTGCCCCCCCCCCCTGCCCCCCTACCCCTGAGCCCCCACTCCCCTGCACCCCCTGCACCCCCCCACACCGCCTCAACCCTCCGCCTGCCTCCCACTCTGCCTGCCCCCCCTCCCCCTGGCCTCTACTCCCAATGCCCCCCACTCCCCCTGCCCCCCACTCCCCCTGCCCCCTTCCCCCTGAATCCCCACTCTCCTTGCACCCACCCCCACACCGCCCCAACCCTCCCCCTGCCGCCCCTCCCCCTGCCCCCCTCCCCCCGCCCACCCCCCTCCCCTGCCCCACTCCCCATGCCCCCACTCCCCCTGACCCCCTCCCCACCCAACCCTCCCCCCCTCCCAGTGATTTATTTATCCAGAGTCAGTCGCGGTGGAGTCCCGTAGCTCAGTGGTTAGAGCACTTGCCTCACAAGCGGGCAACCTGGGTTTGATGCCCGGCGAGGGGAAATGTTGGTCACGTTTCCTTACTCCACACACCTCTGTTTACCTGAAGTAAGTGGGAACCCAATTGTTAGTCGATTGGCAGAATGACAATTCCTTCCAAATAAAATAATAATAAATCGGTCGCTCAACCCACGACTTGCCAGACTCCGCCACTGCCTCACCCCTCAGGCTGCCGAAACCCTCACCTGCGCATTCTTCACATCAAGGCTCGACTACAGGGACTCCCTCCTCATCGGCCTTCCCAACGCTTCCCTTCACAAGCTGCAGATCATCCCAAACTCTGCAGCTCGTGTCCTCTCCCGCACCAGGCTCCGTGATCACATCACTCCCACCCTCGCCCGACTCCACCGGCTCCCCATCCCCCAGAGGATCGAGTTCAAGATCCTCGTCCTCACCTTTAAGGCCATCGATGGCCTTGCCCTCTCCTACCTCTCTGACCTGCTGACTCCCTACCAACCTGCCCACTCCCTCCGTTCATCGGGCTCCGGTCTGCTCCACGTCTTCATGCCTTTGGTCACCCTCCCACCTCTCCGCCTTCCCTCACCCCTACACCACCCCTCCCCCTCCTCTCGCCACCCCTCCCCCATGCTCCGGCCCCAACACCTGACTGTTCAGCGCTTTGAAACGACCTCCCGATGTGAAAGGCGCTCTATAAATGTAATTTTGTTGTTGGTGTTGTGTGTGGGACAATGCAATTCGCAGCTGCATTTTGCCCCCAAAATATGGATTCAATTCACTTTACGGTATATTCTGTGAATCTCTCTGAGATGCCTCGAAGACGCAATAAGGCACGGTATCAGCTGCAAGCATTATTATTAATACAAAGGGCTTTATAGTTGGAGGTCACGTGCATAGCAAGAGCACGCAGGACTACATTTGCTGAGATATTTAGAGGAGAGGAGAAAGGACTCCAAATGTGGAGGCTGACGGCAACAGATAAGATTTTTCTGTGCGTCGTTGGAAGAGTGGCGCTATGTAAATGTAATTTGTGTTGCTTGTTTTTGAATTGGTTTGGTAAAGCGTAATACTGTATATAGTGGTAGAATTTGTTTCATGAATACTTTCCTATGAATGTTGTATATTTTTAACAGAATAAATCATACAGAGAATAAAGGAATTGCTTAAGACACCGGTGTTATGGATTGAGATTCATTACATAGTGTTAGAAGTGAAAGTGAACTTGGGTTGGAACAGACAAACAGGTTGAACATGGATGGCATTAGATATCAACACGGTCACCCAGCATTCCGTTGAGGTAAAATCTGTGAAGCCGAGTATATTCAAACAAAAGTACCATTGAAGCGCACTTATTTCAGCAGTCAACCCTCATCGCCGCGAGACCGAGTGCTGCGAGTCCGGACCAGGGTTCTTCCTTAGTTACTTCAGTTATTCCGGCTTTCCATCTTCCATCACCGTCTGTTGGGGCCGTTCCTGACTGCTTCCCACTTCTCTTCTTCGGCTCCTTATAGTCGGTCGCCTGACTTGCCATTGCATCCCGCGTTTACATACCCATCACTTCGTATTGTACTTCGCCTTATTCGGCGGTTTGTCGACCAACCACCACGTCCTTCCTGTGGCCCCTCTACCCACTTCTGATACAGTCACGTACTCAGGTTAATCAATCGTTTGGCTTGGGGTCAGCCTGACTGAGTCTCCACGAGGCCTTCCCTGTGTCCTGTCTAAGATAGGAGATTGATCAGTTTAGGGCTGTATCTGGTGCTTGTTATTTTGCTGTGTGGGATCATCAGTACATTCCTTTTAAGTGACTGGTTATCTCTTATCAGTATCCCGGGATGGTACCGAGGTCCTCCAGTTTACACAACTTGCTCATTAGTTGCTATTCTTGAGGGTTGCCTTCTGTCACTTGGCCCTGTCAGAATCCAGCGACTTATTGCTAAGTCGAGATCCTGTGTCGACCGGTACCTTGGACCGTTCCCTGTGGGCTTCTTGTTGTTGTTCAAGGTCCTCGCCCTCACGTATAATCCCTTCACATCCAAACACCTCCCCATCGCTCCGAGATGATGTCCTGTGTAGTGGAGCGCTGTGTAAATGCATTCACATTCCTTGTTGTTGGATTCCTTCGATATTTACAAACACACAGTCACTTTACATTATTTCCTGTAAAGCGCTTTTGGGATGTCCTCCCGATGGAAAGGTTCCATATCAAACTGCAAGGCTTCCAAATGTATAATTGATATCATTAATATTGTTAATATATGACAATATTAATGTCCCTGAGCAGGAGGGGAGATTATTGGCTGTGTGTCTAACTTGTGTCTTGACAGATGCAGAAACTCATTGCCAGGATTAAGAGACTCCAAAACAAATGACTCAAAGCTCTGCATCATGTTTTCCGTTTGTCCGGTATGGACTGGGACTCTCTCTTTCTTTCGCTCTCCTTTTCTTTCTCTCTCTCTTCCCCCAGAGTGACACCTGCTTCTAACCACAGAGTATTAGGCAGGTTGGCGAGAGCCAAGGTTTGGGCACTCCAGATGTGTGTTGGGTAACTGCTGGAGTCTAACCAGCGAGAACCCCATAACTTGCCGTTGACAGCACTGTCCAGCAAGCTTTCCCGCTGCTTGTCTCACTCGGGGAGCTGGAGGGCGCTATATAAGTGCAAGCTGTTGCTGTTGTTGTTGGTGATGTGTTCACACAGGAGGCTTGAACCGTTCTCTTTTCCAACAGTGCCATGAGATCTCTAACGTCTACCTGAACAGGCACAGAGGGTTGAGCTCGATGTGACGTCTCACCAAAGGACGGCACCTCTGACAGTGCGGTGTTCCACCCGAGCACTGAACTGGAGCAGCTCAGTCTATATGAGTTCCAAGTCCTGAAATGACAACGTTTCACACACTCACACACTATCGCTCTCCCGACAATCAGCTCACAAGTCTTTTGATTTAAATCATGTTTATTCCTATCAAGTTAATATTTCACAGGAATATTTACAAAGGTGTAACACAACGCAGATTTGTGTCTTTTGCCTCTCAAGAGATTGTTATCTCTGTGTTGGAGTAAATAGTGTGGAGACAGATGGGAAATATAACTGTTTACAGCAGATCACAAACATCCAGCGCAAAGCCCTTTCATTCCCCAAATTGCACCTTGAAATAAAATTCAGCCAATATGAATTTGATAAGATAGTAATAAAAATAATAATAATAGTAACCTTTGCATTTTGCACAGTGCATTATCAGGTCAGAAGCATGTCTCAAAGTGCTTCACAGGCGTTACTGTAAAATGCAGTGACTGCGCAATTGCACACAGCTACGTCCCACAAACAGCCATGGTGCGAATGACTGTATCTGGGGGAATGTTGGCCAGGACTTGGGGAGAGAGAAACTGCCTTCACTTTCGAAGGAATTTTAATGTCCATTTGAACATGGCACAGACGGAACCTTGATTTAATGTCTCACCAGAAAAATGGCACCTCCGACAACGCAGCGCTCCCCAGCGTTGACCTGGAGCATTAGCTTAGACTATGTGATTCCAAGTCCTGACATGGGGCTCGAACCCACAACCTTCTGACTCCGAGAAGAGAGCACTACCACTGTGCCAGGCTGACATGCCACGCTGATGAACTTAAACGCATTCAGATCCCCTTATTTAAGGTCTGCATCAAGACCTACCTTTTTAATTATGCTTTCAGTCATCTGTCAAAGCCCCTCCCTCATCCTCCACCCCCTCACTCCCATTCCCACCCCCCCAACCTCACCCCAACCCCCCCCCCACCACCCAGCAGACTTTGTGATGTCCTCCTGACACGAAAGGCGTTGTGTAAGTATAAAATGTATTGCGCATTATATCAGCTGCAAAATTCTGCCTCTATAACAACGATAACCACATTTCTAATCAATTACATTATGCATAAGCGCTTCATTCGGCGTTGAGGAACATGGGAACAGGAGTGGGCCATTCAGCCCCTTGAGCCTATTCTGCCGTACTATTAGACCGTGGCTGATCTGTACCCCAACTCCAACCCCCTTTGCCCCATATGCCTCGATACACTGATCCAAACAGAACATCTGTCCACCTCAGTCTTCAAAATTTGAGTCCAGAATTTGAATCCCTTTGAGAGAGGGAGAGAGCTCCAGATTTCCACTCCCCTTCGTGTTTGTTCTCACGTGACAAGTGCTGGGTTAATGTGCAAGTGTGTGGGGTGGGGTGTGGGGTGGGGTGGGGGTGACATACGCTGAGCAGGATAGTCCAGGCTTGATTCCCTGGATGGTCGAGGCCAGTCAGGCCAGATGCTGTAGAGGGTGACGGAGCTTATCTACAATGTGGTCCCCTCACACGGTCTGACAGTAGATCATTGTGTGTAGTCACTGCACCTCCAGCTCCTCATCCAATCAGGGTTCATCCTGCAAAGGGTTAATGTTACAGAAGGCTCTGTCACACCAAGTTCATTTATTTTTGTTCAGTGGGGTGTGCGACACATGGAGAAACCCAGCACCGCGCTTCATAGTCTCCAAACCCAGCTGAGATTTCCATGTATCCCAACTGATAGAATCCCAGAGATATATAGTTGGAATGGAATGCGCTCTCTCTCTCTCTCTCTCTCTCTCTCTCTCGCGCGCTCTCTCTCTCTCTCTCTGGAGGGATGTATCCCCCTTACCTGATCCCGGAAAGTATTAGGCGCAGGTTGGCAAGAGCCAAGGCTTGGGGGGGAGCCCAGAGTGTGCATTGGGGTAACTGCTGGAGTCTAACCAGCGTGAGGATAATTTAATTACTTAATCTCTCTCGCGAGGGCTTTCGGAAGTTCAACTTCTCTCACTTTGACTTCTGCTTCTCCAACACATCTTTTCTTGTCAATAAACAAGTAAACGAGAAAGCAGTGGATGGAGCCAATGAAGCAAATGAAGGTCCCTATGAGTATGAGCCATGAAATGGGATTAGACAGTATCTGATAATATATGCAATTATACAGGACATAATATTGTCATGGCCGGTATAACTGCCATGTCTCAGTATAATTACCTCTACCCCACCTGTACACATCAACAATCAATCTCCAACTCACTAAACATAACTTACCAAACTACAATACTTAATCTTTAAACTATATTAAACATTTGTATTTATCCCACTTCAGCACAACGGGGTCCCTGTTCTTGCGCCAATGTGAGGCTTCATTTATTTTCGTGACCCTGTGGTGAAGTCAGGACTGACACAAATCTTATGGAATTAATCACATTAATAATGGATATAAGTAATTAAAAGTACATTCAATCATTCTTACGTATCCACGTATACTGTGGCTCACAATAATTTAAGTTGTTCAAACCAAATGCTGCGGCAGAGACAGTAGGAAAATGTCCAATTTAATGTTTTCATTTGAATCCAATGTCCATCAAAAGGTATCCAAGTATTGTTGTAAAGTTCCCTGTTCGATATCACCCAAAGGTATCCGGGTTTTATTGCACATTTAGTGTTGTTTAAATCATAGTCTTGATCTTCTTTCTTTAGAAGCTGGAATACGGTTTGCGACTCTGAGTTCTAATTTCTTCCTCTCTCTTTCGAATCGATCTCCATTCATACTATTGATGAGGTGACCTTTCACCTGTTGTCTTTTGCAGATGGTTCCTTTGTAAAAATATGCAACACAGCTCTCTCTCTCTCTCCAGCCGCAGACCATCTCTCCATGAGAAAATGTCTGATAAGGAACGTGAACAGTTTGACGTTTGTAAACAGTCTTTTTGTTTCTCGTCCTTGAGAAAGGGTCTTCTTCGAAGATCGTCACAACCGGATCCCCTCATATGAGATTGATCATATGTTTCAAATATATGTATATATATATGTACACATAAACATGGCAAATATAACTTAAGATATTATTTAACACATTAATTATAGAATCTTACACCAGATAAAACTGTATAACTTACCATTGATATTGCTGTCCAGAAAGGCTCAGCTCTGGTCCTGGGTTTGTGTATGTGTCAGTCCTGTGGAGGTACCACTTACCGAAGTGAGTGTCAAGGGGATGCCGGCAAGTTCTGACTTGAACGCAATCCTCCTCATCTTCCGCACGGCAGTGAACCACCCACGATATTCAGCCCTCACCTACAACAACAGGGACAAGGGAAGCTCAAACAGCGCTGGGATTCACGAGTGGAACCGTATAAACCCACACCATCCGGCCCTTCATGTCTGTGCTGTGCCCTTTCCTTCATCCAATTCCCCCAAATAAAATCACTTCCACTTCACTTCCTGACCTCCCGCCTCAACTATTCAAATGCTCCCCTCGCCGATCTCCCCAGCTCCACCATCCATAAAATCCAGCTCATCCAAACCTCTGCCACTCGCATACTCACCCATACTAAACTCCACACCCCCATCACACCAGGTCTAGCCAGGCTCAACTGTCTCCCTATCACTGAACAGATTGATTTCAAGATGCTCACACTCAAATCCTTTCATGTCCTGGCATCTCCCTACTTCTCCGACCTGCTTACTCCCCAACCTACAACCCATTGCCTCCGCTTGACTAGCTCCGGCCTCCTGCTTGTCCCTCGTGCCCTCCGTTCCACCATTGGTGGCCACACTTTTAGCTACTATGCCCCGAAACTCTGGAGCACTTTCCTCTATCCCTCCACCTTGCCCCTCCTTCTCCATCTTCAGGAGGGACCTGCCTTGTTTGGATGCCACATTTGCCTACAAAATACAGTCACTGTACTTTACAGTATATCGTGTGAAGCGCTTTGAGATATCGCAACGACATGATCAGGCGCTGTTTCAAATATAAGGATTATTATTATGAGAAGGAGAGCAGCTGCACATACCTTGCGATTTAGCAGACACAGGAGGATGAAGATAAAGACGCCCTGGAAGCTGTTGACGATGGTGAATAAATAAGCCATGACCACCGTTTCCTTCTGGAAGTGAAACGCTCCCAGGATCCAGGTACAGCCCAGGACAAACACCTGCCCCACGGCTTTAAACGCCAGCATCCTGCCCAGGAACAAGACAACCGTCAGAGTAAGGCTCACACCAACAAATAACCGGCTCACTCACTGCACGGATGTTTGCACAGACATCGCTGGCTGCCAAATAATCCTTGCATTTATATAGTGCTTTTCACATCTTCTGGACGTCTCAAAGCGCTTCACAGAATATACTATTGTGAGTGAAACACAGCAGCCGATTGCACACAACAGCGACCAACGAACAGTCATGGATTGAAGTGACCAATTTGTCGTTGTGTCTTTTTCTTGAGGGATTATAACCAGGGCTGTGGAGTGAGGAAACTTGCCCAAGGTTTCGCCCTTCTGGGAATTGAACCCAGGTCTCTCGCTTGCAAGGTGACAACTGAGCTACAGGTCTCCACAATAATTATGATTATTATTAGTCGATACAGCACCTGTTGCATAAAGATGATGTCTCAAAGCACTTCACAAGGTTTACCAATAGCCTCTACCATCACCTCAAGCCTCCTATGCCCTCAAATCATTTGACTGAATAATAATAATACCGGCAGACAAACATGGCAGCGAATTTGCACAAAGCAATTTCCCACAAACAGTCAGTGTAATGATTCTCACAACTCAGATGTAGAGATAAACTATTTTATTCTCAGCTGAAAAAGCAACCAAAATTCCAACCATAAACCACAGCAGCTATTCTCCTCGAATTTCTTTTTATATTTCTGTTCCTGGATCCCAGTTGACTGTCTATTTGCTCTTGAAGGGTGATTCAACTGTCAGGAAGTGAATGGTCACCTTTATGTGGGGTATTGTCAGACAGGACATCGGGGAGAGAGAAACAGCCTGAACAGGCAGACAGGGCCTCTGCTTATGTCTTGTCTTATCTCATATTAGTCTATGTGACTCCAAGCCCTGACAGGTTGGGCTTTACCCCATCATTCTGAGATGTGGTGAGGTGGAGGCAGACACACATATTGCCGCAACATTAAACACGTTGCATTTTATATCACCGAGAAATTTTAGTGGCTGTATTTTTACCAGCCAAACGCAGCAGCCAATTTTAGGTCAGGTTGGCTCAGTGGGTAATACTGAGATAGACCCAGTGCATTCAAGCTCCAGTGTTGGGGACTTTGAGGGCACAATCTGGACTGACGCTCCAGTGCAGTGTTGGAGGGAGAGAGCACCGCGTTGTCAGAGGTACCGCCCTTCAGCGAGACACTAAACAGAGCCCTCCATCTGTGTCTGTTGAGGTGGACATGAAGGATCCCGTGGAGCTATTTGAAAAGAAATGGGAATTTCTCTTTCCTGGTGTCCTGGCCAACAAACCCCCAGATACAATTGGTCACACATTTCAAAGTTGTTTGTGGGATGTTTCCATGTGCAATTTAGCTTCCACCTTTGCCAACACAGTCACTACAATTAACAATAAAAATCCTGTGAAGCACTCTGAGAGGTCTCAACAACGTGACGTGGCTCAGTATCAGAAGCAAGGATTATTATTTCAATATTATCATATTATTATGTATTATTATGTACTACTACTATGATTGATCATAAAGAAACAAAGTCGCTGGGATACGGGCTTTCTTACCTCGTGTCTTTGATCTTTGAGACTTCAACATCACGATGGGAAAGCTCGTCTTTCAAGGTGACAAGTGTGGCCATGAACAGACCTGTGTTGACCTATTGAGCAATTCAAATAATCAATAGCACTGTGTCTTCTCAACAGAGCCCCAACCACAAGATGGGCTCAGATGAAGAAGACTCTTCAGCCCATCTGACCTCACCACCTCCACACCTGCCCAACCACCCCCCATCACAGCACTGAGCTGCTTTTTAAATGAGTCCCAGCACCTGGCATCAACCCGTCCCCCCCCCACCGCCATCCAACAATCCCACCACATCCACCCCCCACCCGCCCCTTCCTGGCCACCCTGTTCAAATCAGAAACACTTCCTGGTGTCTGTCCTGAAATTGCCCCTTTGCAACTCAAACTCAATACATCCCAAAGTATTGATCTGGGTTTAATGTTCAATCCCATTTACAATGTTATACACCTCTTTTAGGTCTCCTCTGAGACACCTTCTCTCAAGATCTGAAGAGCCCTCTTGTTTGTCTAATCATTGCCTGTAGCTCGTTCCTCTAACACTGGGGACCATCCTCGTTGCTCTCCTGGGCAGCCCCTCATGTCACAAGTGACCAGAGCTTTATGCAGCTCAAGGTGTGGGCTGACCAGACACTGTACAGCCTGAGTGAGACATTTGGTAATATAACCCTACCTCCTGTTTATTGCTGCCTCACAACTAAGCCCTAATTTAAACTCATGTCCACATCATTGGAAGAGTATGGAGATGGGATTATGTGGGATGTGATGTGATATTTATGAAAAGAGCAATATATGCAGTTGTTTATAATCCTCTGATGAAATAGTTACCTGAACAGGGAGTTATAGAGGAAGCAATGACCCCAAACAGCCATGCAATGTTTTTGACACAGAAAGTTGTTTGGATCTGGAATGCATTGCCTGAAAGGGTGGGGGAAGCCGATTCAACAACACATTTCAAAAGAAAATTAGACAGATATTTGGGAAGAGAAATTTCCAGGGTTATGGAGAGAGAGGGAGAAGTGGGATTAATTTGGACAGTGCTTTCAAAGAGCCGGGACGGACACGATGGGCCGAATAGTCACCTTCTTTTCTGTATAATTCTAAGATTATAATTATTATGATTATAATTGACTGCTGCGTTTCACCCACAAGTATACAATTAATTCACTTTACAGTATATTCTGTGAAGCGCTTTGAGACGTCTCAAAGATGTGATAAGGCGATATATCAAATGCAAGGATTATTATTATTATGATGATGATTCTACGTTATGTGCAGTGAATGAATAATGTTATATGGGAGGATTGTCGGCCAGGAGAGAGGAACTCCCTTCGCTTTTTGAATAGCATCACAGGATCTTTAACCTCCACCTGAACAGGGCACAGGCGGAGGAGCATGGTTTAACATCTCATCTGAAGGACAGAGTGTCCGACAATGCGGTCCATCCAGTACTGGACGGTCAGACTGGACGGTGAGTTCAAAATCTCTGATGTGGGACTTGAACCCACAACCATTTAACTCGGAGGCGAACGCACAACCGACTGAGCTAGGCTGACGCCCAGGTTGGTGCATATTTGTAAGCGTAAAGTATCGTAAACATTTAAAAAAATAATTACCAGAATCATCAAATAGGTTGGCCCAAGGAACGTCCACACAAAGCCCTTCTCTACCTGTAACCAGCAGCTACAATTGAGAACCAGAAGGGAAAGTTATTTCGGAGATATTAGTTATTATTATTACCTAATGATTAGAAGCTAAGCACTCCGAGACCCTCACACACATGGAGGGCACAATATAAATGCACGTTGTTGTTAGTTGTTATTATGGTGGACACAATCACTACACCTGACAGCGAACCGTATGACATGCTTTGAGATGTCCAATAAGAAACATAGAGCATTTCCGGAAGGCAGTGTCAGATAGCGAGAGAGGGGGGAGGGGGAAGATGACTATAGAACGGTAATTTGACCCAACAATGGGACCTCCCCCACCCCCCCATCCACCTGCTCCACACAACACACACAACAAACAACAATAAATTATGCCTGAATAGCGCCTTTCACGTTAAGAGCATGTCCCAGAGTGCTGGACAATAAGGGATCCACATCCAAACTGGGGTTGGGATCAGGAGGGGTGGAGGTCGTGGAGAGCAGTGGTAGGAGGGAGACCGAAGGCACGGTTGAAGAGGAGCATCTTGAGGTGGGTCTTGAGGAGCCAAGGGAGGGGCGAGGCGGAAGGACTGTGGGATGGAATTCCAAAGGGTTGGGGCAGAGCGGTTAAGAAATACTTACTTCCTGTCTGATCCATAGCAATGGGGGTATACTGCGGCACATATAACCACCAGGACTGCGGGTGGCACATACCCCAGTGTGTACAGCAGCCCTCCGGGGCGGTGAGTACCAGCCAACCTCATCTTCTTCAGGTTTCGGACCATCAGGTAAAGCTGCACTGATTCCAAAGACATCCAAGCGAATGCCGCCAGGAACAGGTAATGGAGACAACCAGCGATGATCCCACACAGCACCTGGAAGGAGAGCAAGGAGACAGGCATTTGACCAGGGAAAGACTGAGTATATGGAAATCAATGGTGTGGGGCTGATACTCGGTGGATGCAATGCTTTGTGCTCACATTCCCCACTCCCCACTCTGTCTTTGCGGCCTCCTCCACCCCACACGCACACGCGTGTGCCAGTCAAATTGGCTGCTGCAATCACCTACAAAACACATGGTCACTACACTGTACAACAAATCAAGAGGACACGGGTTTGGAGTTGCAGAGGAACAATTTCAGGACAGACACCAGGAAATGTTTCTTTACCCTGAGGGTAATTAACGAGTGGAACAGGGAGGCCGGGATGCTGGGATTCATTTATAAAGCAGCTCAATGCTTTGATGGAGGGATGGTCGGGCGTGTGTTCTGGTGGTGATGAGATCAAATCGGCTGAAGGGCCTTCTTCATCCAGACTGATCTTGTGAAATCCTATGAAGCCCTCGGAGCCATTCTCCCAATGTGAAATGCGCTGTGTCAGATGTAAGGATTCTGGTTATCATTACCCTGTTGCTGGTGCTGTTGATCCCTGTGAGAAAGAGCAGCTCTGCCAGGAACAGGCTGACACACAGCTGGGTGTGGGTGGCTGTTATCACATTCTTCACCTTGGAGGAGACAAGGAAAGTAATGATGGTGGTGCCCAAGCACACGAGGGAAACGGTGATCCCCACGTAGGTAATAACGCGCTGAGCCTTGTCTGATGAAGAATCCTGCAACTGAAACACACAAGACATTTTCTGGTTGATTTTCTCTGTCATTTCCTTCTGATGTATCAGCCTGGGTCAGTCAGTAGGGGTCTCATGTCTGAGCTGGAAGGTTGTGGGTTCAAGCCCCACTTTGGATTCACATAGTCTAAGCTGACGCTCCAATGTAGTGTTGGGGGGAGAACTCCATTGTCAGAGGTGCCGCCCTTTGGATGAGACATTAATGTGAGCTTCCCATCGTTAGGTGTAATAATAATAATAATCCTTGCATTTGATATTACGCCTTATCACATCGCTGAGACATCCCATAGCGCTTCACAGGATATACTGTACGGTGCAGTGACTGTGTATTTTGTGGGTGAAATGTGGCAGCCACAAACAGCCATGGAGTGAGTGACCATTATATTTAGGGGATTGTTGGTCAGGACACTAGCGCCACTACTGCCATCTGAACAGCCGGATGGGGCCTCGGTTTAATATTTCATCCAAAGGACGTGATCTGAAGATGGGCGAAGAGGAAAGGCAAATTCACAAAAGCGAGTGTTATGAAAGTCCTTACCTCCCGGTTGAAGGCCATCAACAAAGAAAAGCTGGACAGGTGCTGGCATTTACAGCTGGTGTGGGTTTGATTGCAATGTGTCAACTCACAGCCTCGGGGTGACCAGTGACTCCCATTCGCTGAATGGTTCCAGTAAACACAGACTAATCTCTCTCCCGCTTCAGGCTCCTGCAAAGACATAACATGACAGGCCCCAAATAATCCGTATATTTCAAGTCAGCCTGCCTCAGTTGGTAGCACTCTTGCCCCTGAGTGGGAAGGTTGTGGGTCCAAGCCCCCACTCATATAGTCTTAGCTAACGCTCCAGTGCAGCTCTGGGGGGGGGGAGAAGTGCTGCGTTGTCGGAGGTGCAATGCTTCTGATGAAAAGAACCAGCCACCCATCTGTGCCCTATTCAGGTGGACCTTAAAGATTCCAGGGCAACGAACATAAAGCAAATTCACTCACAAAACAGAGTCACTCCGTTTTACTCCTGTGAATCCTGTGATGTACTTTGTGACGTCCTCCCAATGTGAAGGGGCTGTATCAAAGGCAAGGTTTATTATCATCACATTTGGTACAGAGCCTTTCACCTCAGTAGGACTTCCCAAAGCTGTAAACTGTAGGGAATGTGTAGTTTTTTGGACAAACGCAGCAGGCAATTGGCGCATAGAAACGTCCCTGCAAACAAACATGAAGTGAGTGACTGGGGGATTTATCTGAAATGATGCGACAGACACCAGGAAGTGTTTCTTTACCCAGAGGGTAATTAACATGTGGAATAGGGTGGCCAGGAAGAGGGGTTTGAGGCCACGACACTGGGACTCGTTTGAAGAGCAGCTCAATGTTGTGATGGGGACACTCAGGAGGGTGTTGTGGAGGTGCTGAGATCAGATGGGCCGAAGGGTCTTCTTCATCTGAACCAATCTTGTGAAAAGTTTCTTTTGAGCTCCACTTTATCCCTCTGAGGCCTGGGACTAACCTGCTTGTGTTTCAGGGTGAAGTTGACAGCCTCAGGCAGTGGGTCGCTCTGGCGGTTGCTCAGAGCGGCCGAAATTACCGCGGAATTCAAGTGGGTTCTGATAGGGGTTGGGGGACCGGTGTGGGCTCTGTAAGGAGCCCCCTTCAGGAACCTGTCCATATTGCTGTACGAGATGAAGATGACGGCTGCTAAACCTGGAGTAGAGGAGAGGAACCGGAACCAGTTACACAGCCTTCAGTCAATACACCCTGATCTCTGGACTTGGAGGGGCACATCAGTCACTGGGGATAGGGACTCATCCTACTCAGCTCGTGTTAACGCTGCAAGCCAAAGCTCTAATGGGTAGTGTGGTCCGAGCTGGACAAGCAGCGGGCAAGTCTGCTAGACAGTGATATCAATGGCAAGCTATGTGATTTTAGTGGGTTAGACTCCAGCAGTTACCCCAAAGCACACCCTCGGGTCCCCAAGCCTTGGCTCTCACCAACTTGTGCCTAATGCTTTAGGGAATTAGGTAAGCAGGATGCATCCCTCCAGGGAAAGAGAGAGAGAGAGAGAGTGCATTCCATTCCAACAATCTATCTCTGGGAGTTCCCTGTGTAGGTGGGATGCATGGAATTCTGTTTGGTTTGGATAGTCTTCAGCACGGTGATTGGGTTCTACGTTCACCCAGCTGACCATAACAAAAACTGCTCCACTCACCAGGCTCTGGCCTCCAGCCTGTCCCTCATTCCCTACGCTCCACCATCGGTGGCCGTGCTTTCAGCCACCTCAGGCCCGAACCTCTGGAACTCCCTGCCTCAATCCCTCCATCTCTCCCCCCTCTTTGCCCATCTTCAGATTGCACCTGAAACGTTTCCTCTTCGACCGTGACTATGGTCACCTCCCATCCCTTTCCAGTTTGGCATCAAGCTGTTAAAGTGCTCCCAGACGCTGCCCCCGTGAATAGCGCAGTGTAAAGCCAAGTTGTTGTCATTATCATTGTTGTTGCAAATTGAGAGCTTCAGTTTACCAGTCGTCTCTCCTCCTGCGATGGTTGCCCAGTTTATATCCATGCTGCTCCCTTGGGTGGAGAGTCTGGCTCGCTGTTGGCTGGGGGGTCTTTCCGTATCAATAACCCCCACTTGCAGATCTAAAAGACAAAATGACAGCTTTTGGAGTCCTGTAGTGCAGTGGTTAGTGCACTCACCTCCCAAGTGAGAGGACCTGGGTTTGATTCCCAGGCGGAGGAGAACCTGAGTCAGATTTCCTTACTCCACACACCTCTGTTTACCTCACAGTAAGAAGGAACCCGGTTATTAGTTGAATGGCAGATTGCTTTCCGGGGTTAATAATTCCTTCAATACTAAAATTACAATAATTAATCACTCAATCCATGACTCTTTGTGGGAAATATACAGTTGATTCACTTTACAGTGTGTTCTGTGAGGCACTTTGAGACATCTCAGCCATGTGATAAGGCACAATTCAAGTGCAAATTATTACTAAATGCAAGAATCATTATGTTTTTGGATGTTGATTGGCTCTTTCCACTTGTTCATGAGTCCAGATACAGTTGCAAAAATATAAGATCGCCAGCACTAATAACATTCATTGCTTTTGATACAGCACCTTGTTATGTCGTTGAGGTGTCTCAAAGTGTGCACAGGATTTGACTGTAAAGTAAAATATAATTTAATTTAATTGTCTCAATCCATGTAAATGGTACTCCTGTCGCTCACTGTGGAACTTACCAAGCTGGGCGTCTGGAAAGTGTATGAACCCCGGGCTGGCTAAGCTGAGGGCTAATGTCACCGCTGTCCTCTCCATCGTCTGGAGCAAGGTGGATGCCACCCGCAGTCTCTCCTCCTGCTCCAGCCTGTTCCACGCAGCAGAGTCCGCCAGCAGCTGACTTGCGAATGACATGATATCCTGTCAAAAAACCCAATCCCGCATGAGCTCCATCTATTACAATAATACAGTGAAACTCACATAAGTCTTACCTTTATAAGTGGAGTCCTGCAGTGTATTGGTTAGAGCGCTCGCCTCGCAAGTGAGAGCACCCGGGTTCCAATCCCAGGAGGGGTGAAAACTTAGGGAAACCTCAGGCGCTGACAATATCGCCATCCGTGGTTGCACATTCAACCTTGCTAAGCCGGTCCGGAACCTGGGGGTCTTGTTCAACCCTCAACTATCCTTTCTACCCCACCTTCGCGCCATGACTCGCTCTGCCTTCCCCCACCTCCGCAGCATCGCCCGGCTCTGACACTGTCTCATACCGCAGGGCGCCGAAACCCTCATACTCGCCTTCACTACATCGAGGCTCGACTCTGCAAACTCACTGCTTGTCGGCCTCCCCAAATCCTCCCTCTACAGACTGCAGATCATCCAGAACTCTGCAGCCCTTATCCCCTCACGCACTGGGCTCCGTGACCCTATCTCCCCCATCCGCGCCAAACTCCACTGCCTTCCCATCACAAAGAGGATACAGATCCAGATCCTGGTCCTCACCTTCAAAGCCCTCCATGGTCTTGTTCCCCTTTACCTCTCCGATCTCCTAATCCTGTACCTTCCTGTTCGCTCCCTCCGCTCAGTGGGCTCTGTCCTGCTTCACGTCCCCCGCCTTACTTGCCCCACTAACCACTTAGATTTCTCTGCACAAGTCGTATTATCATCTCCTAACACGCAATGCCACCACCTATCCTCCATTACTCCCGCACTTACTGGCTGTACTGAATCGTGGGAATTGATGTACTGAACTGCACAAAAGAGCTTAATTTCCTGGGATTGAATGTGATTCCAACGCTTGCAATAAGTACTCCTACGGCAACAGGTCAAGATGCATTGAATCAGGGGAAACGTAGTCTTGACCCCTCATGTGCACTTGTTGGCTGCATTGAATTATGCACGCACAGTGTAGATTACTGATTGCATCTGATTTTATATGATTTATACTGTTTGCGTTTAACTCGGACTTCACATAAGTCATATTAAATGCTGTGGTCATGACTGATACGATTTATGTGAGTTTTACTGCAATAATAACAATCCTTTGATTCAATATAGTGCCTTATCATGATCTGGTTGTCTCAAAGTGCTTCACAGGATATAACGTAGAGTGATGTGACTGTGTATTTTGTGGGCAAACGTGACAGCCAATTGCACACAACAAAATCTCACAAATAGCCATGGAATGAGCAACCATTTTTTTTGGAGCTGAGTGGGGTGGGGGGGGGGGGGGGGAGGGGAATGTTGGCCAGGACACCGGGAGATAGAAAATCCTTTCTCTTCCCAATATTGGCATGAGATCTGCTACATTTGCATTTAAAATACACTCTTTGCAAAACACTTTGTGAATGGCGCTGTACAGACACAAGTTGTTGCTGATTTTGATGCTGATGTTGTTGATATTGTTCAACAAATTGGGAAATCCTCCCAACATGAAAGACGCTATATTTATATAAATGTATTGGTCACGTTCTTATTATTGTTATTTCTATTGTTGTTGATGATGATGTTGTTGTTGTTGTTCGCTAGAAACAACAACTTGCCTTTTCCCGCCCCCAGGCAGGATTGTTGGCCCAGTGTCCTGACCAACAAATCCCTCAAATAAAATGTGATCACTCAATCCATCGACTGTTTATGGGTCACTGGTTGCTGTATTTCGCCTCGAAAATATACAGTCACTGAACTTTACGTTATATTCCATGAAGTGCTTTGTGACATCTCAATTGTGCTTCATGGAATCTCAACTGCAAGCTTTATTATTATTATTATTACTATTATTATTATTATTATTATCCTTTGATGAACTGGTACCAAGGAGTGAGACTTACCTGCATGGTTACTTCTCTGGCTGACTGATGACAGAGCCCATCCATCTTCAGACTGGTTTTATTCATTGCAGAACAAAACACACTGCCGGGGGACTGTGCCCGGGGAGGAAGAGGAGATGGGGGAGGGAGGTGCGGGAGAAGTAGAGGAAAGAAAACAAGTTGTTATGCTAAAGTTCTCTAAGTCTATAACTTTCTGATTGCCATAAGCCAAGAAAATAATAACATCCTGTTGGCCCAATGTGATAAAGGTCTCAGTGTAAAGACTTCCCAAATCCTGACAGGAATCAGAAGAGCTGCATGGTACTAGGGCAGGAAGGGGATTAAAGGAGAGAGCTCCAGTGGGGGAGCGAACACCAGCACAGATACGATAGGGAGAGAGCGGGGAATAGGGTTAGAGTAGAGAGCTCCAGTGGGGGAGCGAACACCAGCACAGATACGATAGGGAGAGAGCAGGGAACGGGATTACAGTAGAGAGCTCCAGAGGGGGAGCGAACACCAGCACAGATACGATAGGGAGAGAGCAGGGAATGGGATTACAGTAGAGAGCTCCAGTGGGGGAGCAAACACCAGCACAGAGCTAGAGATCAGTCGTGTCTTCTGCACTCTTCTCCTGGTTTTCCAGACACAAAGTCGGTGTTTCCTCACCTGATCTGCCTTGGGCAATGGCTCACACCCATTAGGAGCCGGATTCTGGTGGCTTGGGGAGACAGAGGAGCAGTCTGATGTCGTTGAGGTTGAAATGACTGAAAAATAGAAACAGGTTTGAATCCCAAAGGAATGACGACAATAATCCTTATATTTGACACAGCGCAATGTCTACAATCCTTCCCATCACCCACTGCAGCCCCCCACCTCCCCCCCACATCACCTCATCCACCTTTCAGATGAGAGGTTAAACCTCATTCCCTGTCTGTGGCTGTTCGGGTGAATGTTAAAGATCCTGTGGCGCTTTAGAAAAGAGAAGAGAGTTTCTCTCTCTCTCCTGGAGTCCAGAGCAACAAGTCACCCACCTGATAAAACGGGTCACTCACTTCAAGGCTGTTTGTGGCACATCGTTGTGTGCAAATTGACTGCCGTGTTTGGCTGCAAAACGCACACTTTATAGTGAGTCCCTGTGAAGCACTTTCAAATATCTTCCCAACATGAAAGGTGCTGCATTAAATTTAAGGATTATCATAAAAATAATAATAATAATAATAATAGTCCTTGTATTGGATATAGCGCCTTATCAGGACTTTGAGATGTCTCGAAGCACTTCGCAGAATATACTGTGAAGTGAATTGACTGTATATTTTGTGGACCAAACGTGGCAGCCAATACAAACAGTCATCGTGGATTGAGTGACCAAATTATTATCGTTGTGTTTTTAAGGAATTTTTACCCCGGAAAAACGATCCGCCAATTGACTAACACCCGGGTTCCTACTAACTGCTAGGTAAACAGAGGCATGCGGAGAAAGGAAACTTGCCCAACATTTCACCCTGCCAGGAATTAAACCCAGGTCTCTTCCTTGCGAGGCGAGTGCTCTAACCACTGAGCTACAGGACTCCACTATAATCCTTGCAGTACCTCATCAAGTCATCAAGGGATCTGAAAGCATCTCACAGGATATACATAAAGTGTAGTGACTTGTGTATTTTGTGGGTAAAACATGGCAGCCAATCTTGCGCAGCAATGTCCGACAAACAGCTACGGAGTGAGTGACCAATTCTACTTGGAGGATTGTTGGCCCGGACACAGGGAGAGAGAAACTTCCTTCTCTTTGGGATACTCAACATCCACCTGAACAGTCATAGTTGGGGATCTTGGTGTGTAATCTCACCCGAAGGATGGCACCTCCGACAGTGCAACACCTCCCTAGCGCTGCATTAGTGCGGCAGTTTTGACGATGTGACTTCAGGTCCCGATGTGGGGTCTTGAATCCACAACCTTCTGACTCAGAGATGAGCGCTCTGCCACTGAGCCAGGCTGACACACTTATTGTTGAAACTTGTAGTGTACATCCTCACCTTGACACTGTGTTGTATGTGGGTCAGTGAAGAGCGCCTGTCCTGATGTGGACATTGAATCTTCTTGGCAGGTGCAGTGAAAAGCCCCCACTGTGTTGTGACAGGTGGCCCTGGGGCCACAGACTGTCACATCTCCTCTGGCGCACTCATCAACGTCTGAAAGCAATCAGTGGGGAAATCAAATGCTAAACGTGGCTAAGCAGAGTAATAACAACAAGCTGTGAGCCTCTGTGAAGTGCGTGGCACAGTCATTCCAGTGGGAATGTGGGAGAGTCTCCTGAGCTTCTGTTACTTGAGTTTGGACTTCAGCGTTCCCAAGGAAGTCAGTCCATTTCCTACAATTCTGCTGCGGTTTCTATGGCTGGACTGATAACATTGAAAGCACCCAGTTGTTGCAATTCCGGTTACAAACATTTATATGGCAAAAGAGCCTGAGAGGCAATGGTGTGTGTACTCGGGACGTGTCCAGCTGAGCGAACGCTCATCTCAACCGTAAATGGATCCAAAACAAACGCCGCTGACAATAATAGACCCTCGCGTTCATTATAGCACCTTACCACGTCATCAACGCTTCTCAAAGCTTCACTGCATTTTACTGTAACGTCCAGTGACTGTGTATTGTGCAGGCGAAACCGGCAGGCCAGCTTGCGCACAGCGAATGTCCCGCAAAACAGCCATGGAGTGAGTGACTGATTTATTTTCTGGGGGATTGTCGGCCGGGAAATGATGTGGGGAAAAAAAACCGATGTGGAACTCGAACTCACTCAGGACTCACGAGGCATTAAACAAAGCTCCCGGTTCAGGTGGACGTTAAAAATCCTGCGGCGCTCTTGAAAAAGTAAAGGGAGTTTCTATGCGGAGTCCTGTAGCTCAGGGGTTAGAGCACTCGCTTTGCAAGTGAGAGACCTGAGTTCAATTCCAGGCAGAGGCGAGACCTTGGGCAAGTTTCCTTACTCCACACAGAGCCTAATAATAATCCCTCCAAAACCAAAACAATAATAAAATTGGTCATTTTCAATCCACGACTGTTTGTGGGACATTGCTGTGCGCCATTGGCTGCCGCGTTCGCCCACAAATATACAGTCAATTCACTTTACAGTGTGTTCTGTGAAGCGCTTTGGGACGTCCTCCCGACGTGAAAAGCGCTATTTCAAATGCAAGGAATATTATTATTATTATGCGGATCAACAATCCCCCCCGGATAAAATTGATCGCTCACCCTGTGCCTATTTGTGGAACGCTGCTGTGTGGAAATTGGCTGCTGTGTTTTGCCTGCAAAATACAGTCACTGTACTTTACAGTATATCCTGCAAAACACTTCGATGGTCTCATTGGATGATAAGATGCTGAACAAGTGCAAGCGTTGTTCTTATTAGGTGTAGTGACTGTGCATTTTGACAGTGGCAAATACTTTCAAATAAACAGCCTTGTTCATCCACACACTCCTTTATTATTCTCACGTTTTATAAAGCAGGGAAGTTTAGGAAGAAAAGAAGCTTGGCACCTTGTGGCAACTGCTTTCAACACCAATTTTTTTCTTCCTTAAATAAATAATAATAATAATAATCCTTGCATTTTTATATATATAGATATATAGCATCTTTCACATCGGGAGAACTTCTCAAAGCACTTCAAGGGATAATAATAATGATGATAGTAATCCTTGCACTTGCAATAATCCTATCAAATGCAAGGATTATTATTATTATTCTGTGAAATGCTTTGAGACGCGCCTTATCCCATCTATGAGACGTCTCAAAAGCGCTTCACAAAATATACTGTAAAGTAAATTGACTATGTTTTGTGGACAAAACGTGGCAGCTAATTGCCTACAGCAGTGTCCGATAAACAGTCATGGATTGAGTGACCAAATTATTATCATTATTTATTTTTTATTACATTTTTACCCCCGGAAAAGTGATCCGCCAATCCACTAACAACCAGGTTCCTATTGACTGCTAGGTAAACAGAGGCGTGTGGAGTGAGGAAACTTGCCCAGTGTTTTGCCCTGCCGGGAATCAAACCCAGGTCCTCTCGCTTGCTTGGCAAGTACTCTGTAAAGTGTAGTGACTGTGTGCTTTGCGGGTGACCCATCACGTTGCCATGCTCTTACCTACGCAGTCAGTCTTCTGAGTGAATTGGACCTCGCCCGTGCCGGAGGTGAAGCCATCCTCACAAATGCAGAAGTAACCCTGATATGTGTTGTAACACTTTGAGTTATTTCCACACTTACACTCCACATCTGCACCAGAGAGAAAACCAAGGGACTAAAGCTTAATAACAACAACAACAAGATTACATTTGTATAGCGCCTTTCACGTCGGGAGGACGTCCCAAGGCGCTGGACAGTGTAAAGCATTTCAGACCCGAGCTGGGGTCGGGGGGGAGAAGTGAGGAGAGGGGAAGGGGGGTGGCCGATGGTCGAAGTGGAGGGTCTTGAGGCGGGACTTGAAGGAATCTAAGGAGGGGGCGAGGTGGAGTGATTGGGGGATGGAGTTCCAGCGGTTGGGGGCAGAGTTGCTGAAGGCTCTCCCACCAATGGTGGGACGGGTGGGGTGGGGGACGTGGAGCAGCCGGAGCGGAGGGAACGGGCAGGTTGGTAGGGGGTTAGGAGGTCACAGAGGTAGGGTGGGGCGAGACCGTGGAGGGCTTTGTAGGTGAGGACCAGGATCGTGAACTGGATCCTCTGAAGGATAAGGAGCCAATGGAGTCGGGCGAGAGTGGGGGAAATGGGGTCACGGAGTTTGGTGCGGGAGAGGACACGGGCTGCAGAGTTAGTTCTGGATTATCTGCAGCTGTGGCGGGAGGAGTTGGGAAGGCCGACATGCAGGGCGTTTGCATAGTCGAGCCTGGAGGTGAGGAAGGCAAGAACAAGAGTTTCAGCGGCCTGAGGGGTGAGGTAGTGGCGGAGTCGGGCGATGTTATGACAATAACAACAACTTGCATTTATATTGTGCCATTCAGATGGGGAAGCATCCCGGAGAGCTTCACACAACAACACAACACACAGTAAAATCCTGTGAACCACTTGGAGACGTATCAATGTTTTAATAAGGCTCTATATCAAATGCAAGGAGTATTATTATTATCGTTGTCCTTCAGAATTGTTACCATGCAACACATTATTTTTATTAATAATAATAAGCCTTCAATTTGATTCTGCGCTTTTCCATGTCATCAAGACGTCGCAAAGCACTTCACAGGGGATGCTATAAAGTGTAGTGGCTGTGTGTTTTGTAGGTGAACACAGCAGCCAATTTGCACACAGCAACCTCCCACAAACATCAATGAAGAGAGTGACCAATTTTATTTGGGGAATGTTGGCCAGGACACCTGGAGAGAGAGAAACTCCCTTCTCTTTTCCAATAGAGCCGCAGGATATTTAACATCCATTCATCTACTGAACAGACACGTACAGGATCTTTGGTTATAATAATACTCCTTGCATTTGATATAGTGCCTTATCACATCTTCGAGATGTCTCAAAGCGCTTCACAGAATATTCTGTAGAGTGAATTGACTTTAAAATTTGGGCAAAACGCAGCAGCCAATTGCGCACAGCAGTGTCCCACAAAGAGTCGTGGATTGAGTGACCGATTTTATGATTTTTCATATCCAATTGGAAGGACGGCATCTCCGACAATGCAGTGCACCACAACGCAACATCAGCCTAGATTCTGTGAGTTCAAAGTGCCCAACGTGGGGTTTGAACCCACAATGTTCTGACTTGGAGGCGCGAGCACCAACGACTGAGCCGGGCAGGATTGGGAACTCACCCTTGCAATTCGCCCTCCCACTCAGGACGGCGAGACTACCAAAGTGGATCACTGTGAGAAGAAGGGAAGAAACAAATAAAAAGCAAAATCATTTTTCACACCGGTTTTCACTCTTCCCGTCACTATGTTTCCCCGCTCCCTCCACTTAAAAAACTTCCTCTGTGACTGTGCCTTTGGTCACTTCTCACTGCCAAAAGGGGGCTCTTCACCCTCAGTGCTTGATAACACTACAAGTCAAAGCCTCAATGGATAGGGTGGTCCTAGATAGACAAGCAGTGGGAATCTTGTGAGATTGTGCTCTCAATGGCAAGCCGTGTGGTTTTCGTTGGATAGACTCCGTAGCTCAGTTGGAAGCATTTTTGCCTCTGAATCAAAGGTTGTGGGTTGAAGCCCCCATATTGGGGATTTTGGGCTCAATGTCCAAGCAGACGTTCCAGTGCAATGCTGGCAGGAGCTTTGCATTATCAGAGGCACCGTTCTTCGGACTGGATGTTTAACTGAGCTCCCTGTCTGTGCCCTCTTCAAGTGGCTGTTGTTAGAACCCACGACACTACAATAATAATAATCCTCACATTTGATATAGCGCTTTTCACGTCGGGAGGACGTCCCAAAGCACTTCACAGAACACACTGTAAAGTGAACTGACTATATATTTGTGGGCGACACTGTTGGAAAAGAGAAGGGGGTTTGTCTCTCCCAGTGTCCTGGCCGATAATCCCCCTAAATAAAAAAATTGTCTGTTTGTGGAAGATCATGCTGATATTTAAACGATCCCAGGTCTTCTTGTTTTACTCAGTGCTTCCGAAAGAATTGATCTGGTTTTAATTTCCATTCCTGTTTACAACGTTATGGAGTCCTGTAGCTCAGTGGTTAGAGCACGTGCCTCGCAAACAAGAGACCTTGGTTTGATTCCCAGCTGAGAGATACCTTGGGCAAGTTTCCTTACTCCATCCATATGCCTGACAATAATCCCTCAGGAAAAAAGTAATTTGGTCACTCCATCCACGACTGTTTGTGGGTCACTGCTGTGTGCAATTAGCGGCCGCATTTCACCCACAAATATACAGTCAATTCACTTTAGAGTGTATTCTGTGAACGCTTTGAGACATCTCGAAGATGCGAAAGGTGTTGTACCAAATGCAAGGATTATTATATTATTACGCACTTCTATAAGGTTCCCTCTGAGATACCTTCTCCCCGCAGCTTGACTAATCATTGCTCGTAGCTCATTCCCCTAACACTGGGGATCATCCTCATTGCTCTCCTCTGCACTGTCTCTGGGACCTGGGCAGCCCCTTGTGTCGCAGTCTGTGATTGATTTGATTTGGTTCCTAAAATTGGAGCTTTCTAACAACCTACTGGAGTGTGGATAAGGAAATCCAGCAGAAAAGTCAATCAGACAACAATAAAAGGAAGCGGGAAGTATCCGCCCAGAGATTGTTTCCGTGGAGATATCCCGATCAAAAACTATTGACATTAATGGACCAATATTTACGGGGTTCCTTAAGGCGTTTCTGGTTGCTAATAAGATTTCAGGATGACTGGTTCTTGGCTCAATGATCCCTGCAATTAATGCGGAACCCAGCTGGCTCCCACATGGGACCTTCCACCCAAGTGTAGTGACTGCGTATTTGTACGCTCACCCCCGCTGACACCGACATTCTCTCAGATAAATTTAACATTTCAAAAAATTCTTAAATCTAACATCAAGTTTAAACCTGTTCATTAATAATGATCCTTTCATTTGGACGTAGCGCCTTATCGCATCTTTGAGACACCTTAAAGCGCTGCACAGAATATACAGTAAAGTGAATTGACAGTAGAGTCAAAGAGTCATGGGATTGAGTGACCAAATTATTATTTTTTTTTGGAAGGGAAAAGCGAGGCTCCAATCGACTAACAACCGGATTCTTACTTACAGCTGGGTAAACAGGCGTGTGCAGTAAGGAAACTTGCCCCTCGTTCAGCCCTGCCTGGGAATGAAACCCAGGTCTTCTTGCTTGGAAGGTGAGGGCTCTGAGCACTATGCTACAGACCTCCACGGATCTGATTTTTTTTTGGGTTAACCGGGCGTCTGGTTAACCCACACTCGTTAACTCTTTCACATTCTCTCATTCCCCCACACTCTTTCTCACTCACTCACTTAATTACACTCTCACTCATTCTCTTTCACTCATTCTCACGCTCTCTCACTCTGTCCCTCCGTCTCTTTTCTCACTCTTTTACATTCCCGCTCCTTCTCCCTCTCGCTCACTCTCGCTCACTTTCTTTTCGATAACTCTCTCTCTCTCTCTCTCTCACACTCAATCTCTATCTTTCCCGTTCTCTCACTCACTAGCTCTCTCACATTCTCACTCACTATTTCTCATTCATTCATACTCTCACACTGTCACTTCCACACACTCTCTCAGGCACTCTCCCCCCTCTCTTACAACTCTCTCACGCACTCTCTCACGGTGTCACTCTTACTCTCACTCCCTCACACTCTTCCTTTCTCTCATTCCCTCGCTCTTCCTCTCTTTCACTCCCTCACACCTTCACTCTCACTCTCTCACACTCTGTCACTCCCTCACACTCTCGCTCACTCTCATTACTTACTTAGCAGCATGTTGGTGTATTTTCCTGCCATGGCTCTGAGCTCTGAGGCTGCAGTCCGTGGTGATCGCATACATTGGCACAGTCAGGTTCTGCTGAAATTACACAGGAAATAGCATTAATACCGAGGTAGGCGGACACACAGCTCTCTCTGATGTCACTGATATCCTGATTGACGGCTTACATTTTAAAGATGAAGATCTGTTCCTCGGATGAGACATTAAGCCGAGCTTCCCGACTGCTCGTTCAGGTGGATGTCAAAGATCCAGCGGTGCTATCGGAGAAGAGAAGAGAGTTGTGGGACAAGAGAATGGTGGGAGCGAGGTGGAGAGGCTGCGCGATGGTGGTCCAGAGGGAGGGGGCAGAGTGGCTGAAGGCCCACCCTCCAATTGTGTGGCGGGCAAGGCGGAGGATGTGAAGCAGACTAGAGCCCGCTGAGCGGAGGGAGTGGAAAGGTTGGTAGGAGTTTAGAACGTCACAGAGATGGGGGAGAAAGGCCATGGAGGTCTTCGAAGGTGAGGCTAGGGTCTTAAACTTTATCGACTGTGTGATAGGAAGCCAGGGGAACCGGGCAACACTAACAACAACTTGGATTTATATAGCATCCTCCACGCCGGAGGGAGTCTCAGAGCACTTCACAGTAACGGATCCCGGGACCGAGCCGGGGGGGGGGGGGGGAAGGTGACCAAAGGCGCGGTCGAAAAGAAAGGTCTTCAGCAGAGAACTGAAAATAGGAAGGGAGGGAGCGAGATGAAGGGAGTGAGGAAGCCAGTGCCGGAGCCTCGGGGATTAGTGGCTGAAGGCACGGCCACCGAGGGTGGAGCGGAGGACTCGGGGGACGAGGAGGAGGCCAGACCCGGAGGAACGAAGGCAACAGGTACTGTGCTGGGGAGAGAGGAGGTCAGAGAGGTAGGGGGGGTGCAGAGGAGTGCAGGGACTTGAATACGAGGGTGAGGATTGGGGTGATAGGGTCACAGAGCCTGGTGCAGAAGAAGACACGGGCTGCAGATTTCTGGAGCAGCCTGCGGTCTGACAATGGTGGAGCTGGGCAATGTTGCGGAGATGGGGAAAGGTGGAGCGAGTCATTGCACGGATGTGGGGGATGAAGGACAGTTGAGGGTTGAACAGGACATCGAGGTTCCGTATTGGATTCGTGAGACGTAGAGTGCATCCATGGAGGAACACTGGAGTTGGGGCATTGTTGACTGGGAGGATATGAAGCTGGCTGAGCCTGAGCTCGTGGGTTTGGAGACGGTCCTAGATTTCAGGGGCATGAGGGTGGAGGAGAGGCGATCATGGAACAGCTGGACGGCTGCTTCCGGATCTCCGTGGGCCAGAGGGATAGGATATTTGATGATGAGAGGGCCTTTGTGAGGGTCTCAAGGGGTAGCCTTTTCCAAGAGCAGTAGAATATGGTTGAGGGGAGGAGAGAGGGATGTGAGAGGAGAAGGAGATGAAAAAGTGGTCCGAGATGGCCTTGTCCACTATGCTGAGGAGGGAAATGTCAAGGCCATGGGTGATAACAAGGTCAAGTGCATGACCAAGGTTGTGGGTGGGTTGATTTAGAGGGTAAGGTTTAGGGAGGGGAGGAGGACAGTGAAATCGGCAGAAGTGGTGCAAGGGGGAGTTTAGGTGGAGGTTGAAATCGCCCATTATGAGTAAGCGCGCGGAGCAGAGGGACAGGGAAGAGAGGAGGGTAGAGATGTCTGTGTGGAAGGAGCCGGGGGGCTTGTGGGGGGGCAAGGAGTTCAAGGGAGAGCGGGGTGAAAGAGGGTGAGGTGCTCGAAGGAGGGGAAACAGCCAGAGGAGTAGGGGGTGAGACCAAGGGAGGCTTTGGAAATGAGGGCTACCCCGCCACCACATTGGTTTGGACGGGGGGTGGGTGGAAGGTGTAGTCTGGAGGGGAGGCTTCCACTAGGGGTACGGGGGGGGGAGTGGCAACCAAAACGCGCACGCAGAGACCGGGAGCAAGCGATCAGCGAGTGATCCCGACTGAGTGACTCCTCACCTGGCTGTGCTTCACATACACGGCTAGGCCTTGGCTCCGCCCCGTGCTCTCCTACCTTAGAAGATACACTACAACCTTACACCTACTTCCCCCCTCTGCACCTAATTCCCACTCTCACCCAATTCCTTCTCACTCTGGCCTCACCTCACTCCGGACATAGCTCACTCTGGGCCCTCTGCTCGAGCATAGAGATGAGGAAGAGGAGGGGACTACGGATGGAGCCATGGAGTAGCCCACAGTTGACCGGATGGGGGCGGGAGGAGAAACCATTCGATGAGATAAAGTGAAGGCAGTTTGTTAGGTAGGACTCGAGCCAGGCTGGTGCAGTCCCACTGAGGTGGATGAGGGAGGAGAGGTGGTAGATGAGGATAGCATGGTCGATCATGTCGAACGTGGCAGAGAGGTCCAAGAGGGTGAGGAGGCAGAGGGACCCAGTACAGTAAATACAGTAAATGCTTTGGGATGTCCTCCCAACATGAGAGAGGACGTTGTTTGTGACCTTGACAAGCTGTGCTGTGGGCAAGGCCTGATGATCACCTTCTCCCTCCTCCGGGCTTGGCATCAGAATACGCCACTGTTAAGTGCTCTGAGGAGTTGCCACCTGTGAAGGCTGTGTAAATGCAAGTTTTGATATCCCACCCCTCTGCTTGCCCTCGCCACTAAAGTAACTCGGGCTTGCTGTTCCAACCTCTAGAACACCACCCCTGGATCTCAGTCTCACTCCCTTTCCATCTATCTTCAGCCTTGAAACTTACCTCTTGAACCGCTCCTCTGGTCACCTCTCTCTCTACCTTCGCTCCACCCAAACCTGCCACTGTAAAGCTCTCTCCCGCCTTGGCTTTCACGTGGAGAGCAATAATTAAGGCGGGTTGTTTTTGTTAAGTCAGAAGGTTGTGGGGTTCAAGCCTCCAGATCAGGACTTTGAACTCACACTGTCGAGGCTGATGCTCCATTGCAGTGCTGGGGGGAGGAACTCATCGTTCGAATGCGTCATCAAAGAGGCAGATCTTGAGACAGACCTTGATCGAGGTGAGGGAGGAAGCGAGTTGGAGGGATTCTGGGATGGAGTGGCAGAGAGTGGAGGATGATAGGCTGAAAGCCCGACTGACAATGGTGGGGTGGGGAGGGTGGTGGACATGAAACAGCACTGCCGATGGTGTGGAGGATAGGATGGGGGAATGTAACAGCCAAATGGGCTGTGCGCAGCGAACGTCCGGAACAATATGGGTTGAGGAAGTCACAGAGGTAAAGTGGGGGCGAGACCGTGGAGGGATTTAAAGGCGAGATCGAGGATCTTGGATTATCTCTTTAGTTGACCATGACCACCTGTGGACTCTGGCAGGGCGGCCAATGTGGGCAATTCCTACCTGTGCCTCGGGGAACATGCAGGACGGAGTGCTACAATCTGTGAGAGCTAGGGGAACGTGTCAAAGCAGCTTCCCGTCCAGAGCCTGACTGCTCTGGAACTCTCTGCCTCAATCCCAACTCCCCACTCGCTCCCTCTTTGCCCATCTCCAGATCTCACCTGAAGACTTTCTTCTTTGACTGTGCTTACGGTCACCTACCCACCTCTCTTCTCCCTGGCTAGGTGTCAAACGATACCACTCTCAAGCGCTCTGAGGCGCTACCCTGCATGAAGGGTGCTGTATAAATGCAAGTTGTTGTCACATTGTGCAGCATGGGAGAATGACGAGACAAAATGGAGACTACACTAAGAAACACATATAATACAGGAAAGGTCAGGACAAGAGAGGACTGACCAATTGCTCCCACAACAGAAAATTTGGTCCCAGTTAATTTTGACCTTTATTTACCTAAAATGTTTCTTCGCAAACATATCTATTCCTATCGTCACATAATAATAATAATAATAATAATAATAATCCTTGCATTTGATATAGCGCTTTTCACGTCAGGAGGACGTCCCAAAGCGCTTCACAGAATATACTGTAAAGTGAATTGACTGTATATTTGTGGGTATATCATCCCATCTTCCACCATTCCATTCCAAAATTGCACGCAATCTGAATTTCTATTGTCAAAATCTAGAATAAAATAGAGCAACGAAATAAGACTAAATGTAATATATGAGGACTACTACTTCACTTTAACTGGCCCACCACCCGTGGTGAGGTATTCTGCCCCCGCTCTCTGGAACTCCATCCCAGAGTCTCTGTCAAACTCCCTCCCTCCCTCCCTCACCTGATTCAAGGTCCATCTCAAGACCTTATGGTTTTGACTGATCTTTTGATCATCTTTCCTCTCCCCCACACTCAGCTCCCACCCCACAGTTCAGGTGTCCAGCCAGGACATCTCAACATGAAAAGCTATACGCATATAAGTTTTGTGTTGTATGCCTGCAAATACACAGTCACCACACTTTACAGTGTTTTGAGATGTCTTGAAGATGTGATAAGGTGTTACATCGAATGCAAGGATTATTATTGTTATGAGGATTATTATTATTGCATTTGATATCATGCCTTTTACATCGGCAGGATATCTCAAAGCGCTTTACTGTAAAGTGCAGTGACTGTGTATTTGTAGGCAAATGAGGCCAGGGCAAGATTAAAAAAAGACTTACGGCACAGATGATGCGTAATCTGTCCCATCCACCCAACGCCACTCATTTTCAGTGTCCACATCACTGAGTCCAATCCAATGAAATTGACCTTGATCCCTTTCCCAGAGGAATGTCTGTAATGTCAATGAGAATATCACACACTGCTCTCCGTGGTAAACTATGTGGTTTTAGTTAGTTAAACTCCAGCAGTTACCCTAACGCACACCACACTCCCCAAGACCCCAAGCCTTGGCTCTTGCCAACCTGCATCTAATACAGTACTCTCTGAATTTAGGTAAACAGCATCCACCCCTCAAGAGGGGGAGAGAGTGCACATTCCATTCCAGACACAGGGAAATCTCCATGTGTAAGTATACATATGTCGGACTCCACCGCTCCGTTACTTCCTGGATAGATCTCCAGACCCCCATCACAGCAGTCCTTGTCAGGCTCCACCTGCTCCCAATTCAAGATCCTCTCATTCGTTATCAAATGCCTTCATGCCCTCCAACCTCCCTACCCATCCGATCCGCTTGCCATCCACCCTTCCAGACTCTCCCACCCGCTGCCTCTGCTCGGCTGGCTCCAGCTTCCTGTTTGTCCCTCGTCCCCTCCGCTCCATCACTGATGGCCATGCCTTCAGCTACTGTGCCCTGAAATTCTGCAACTATCTCCCTCAATCCCACTGCATTGCCCCCTCCCTCGCCACTTTCAAATCCCGCCTAAAGACCTTCCTTTTGATCATGCTTATGGTTACCAATCCCTCCCCTCAGGGGATGAGTCACAAAGTGAACACCTACACAAACCATCCTCAGATGACCTCTGGAGGAAGATTTAGCTCCTGGCGTGCGTCAAAGATGGCAGGAGACACAGGGAGAGGCAGTTGGAAATGAGTGTGTTTTGCCCACAAAATATACAGTTGATTCACTTTACAATATATTCTGTGAAGCACTTTGAGGCATCTCATAGATGTGATAAAGCACTGTAGCAAACGCAAGGATAATTATTATTATTACATAAACTCCCGTGAAGTGTTTTGAGATATCTCGCTCTCTGGGGATAACAATCTTGGGCTGTCAACAATAATAATAATAATCATCATCATCCTTGCATTTGATATAGAGCTTTTCAAGTCTTCTAGACGTCTCAAAGTGCTTCACAGACTATACTGTGAAGTGAATTGACTGTATATTTTGTGGGTGAAACGTGGCAGCCAATTACGCACAACAGTGTCGCACAAGCAGTCGTGAGTTGAAGTGACCAATTTATTATTATTATTGTAACTATGATTCTGTCGATGCATTCCATCCAATTCCTGACTTTTGATTCCTGCCTCCATTTCTTCCAGTTTGTTCCCCATGATTTGGGCGTTCCAGTACAGCCCATGACTCACTGCCCTCCTTAGGGGGACCTTAACGGGGTTTCCTTGGAGCTGAACTGGCTCCAGGGTAACATGTTCGCAAAAGGAGTGTCGGAATCGAGCCATCACTCTGTGACGGTCTCCTGTCCGGTTACTGAGACAGCACAGCACAGCGTCGCTTATCAGGAGGACTTGGAAGGGCCAAACATTTACTGGGGACGGCGAATCCTCACACTCATCTCCTGTTAATCCTGGAAGCTAAAGTCCGAACGGGTTGGGTGGTCCTAGCTAAGCAAATAGTGGGAAACTTGCCAGACATTCCTATCAACAGCTACCTATACTATTTTAGTTGGTTAGACTCGTACATTTACCTCAATGCACAGTCTGGGGTCCCCAAGCCTGGGCTCTTGCCAACCCTGTGCCTTATACTTTCCTGAATTAGGTAAGTAGGACGTGTCTCTCCAGGGAGAGAGTGTATATTTAAATCCAACAATCCCCGTGTAGATGGGATGCATGGGATTCTCTGTTTGATGCGGTTGCTATTAAACATGGTGATAGGTTTTCCCATGTGTCAGGCACTTGGTTGAGCTAAACAAAGTAAGACAATGTATGTTACACATCTTTCCCGGTCTTCTACTTAAGGATGTAACCATAAATTTAACTGTGGAGTATTGTATCTCGGTGGATAAAGCACTTGCCTCAAAAGGAAAGACCTGGGTTTGATACCTGGCAGCATGAAACCTTGGGCAAGTTTCCTTACTCCACAAGCCTGAAGATAATCCATCAAGAACAAAAAAGGAAATTTTTCACTTCAATCCATGACTGTTTGTGGGACACTGCTGTGGGCAATTGGCTGCCGGATACCAACAGCATAAATACAGTCAATTGTTTTACAATATGTTTTGTGAAGCTCTTTGTGATGTCTAGAAGATGTGAACAACGACCGCTCTTTCAAATACAAGGATTATTATATTATGATTTATTGCTATGAAGGGCTTGACTGTGCATTGGGATTTCGGAGGTCCAGCGAGCAGGCAGTTGGCATGGTCAAGCCAGGACATGACGAAAGTTTGAATTAGGATCTCTGGCCTGTGGTGAGAGGCATTGGTTCAGGCGGGCAACCTTGCACAAGTGGGGATTAGTGGAAGAGGTCGCGGCAAGAATGTAGGGTTTGAAGGAGAGCTCAGGGCCTCAATTGGGGGATAGAATAAAAGAACACAAAGGTTTCCCATTGGCTCGGAGAGGTGAAGATTGCAGCCGTGAATAGTGATGAGGTCAGTGGATGAGATGAGGAGGTGCTGCCAGGAGCCAAGCAGGATTGACCTGGAGGAAGTTGACTCTCGTCCAGGACTTGATGTCAGGCAGACATGTTGCCAGGATATCAACGGTCTTGGAGTCGAGGGTGGAGGCAGCATGTTTGAGTTGGGTGTCATCCACGGTATTGAAAGCGTTCGAGAGGGCGAGGAGTATGAAGAGACAGTGAGAGGCCTGGTCACAGGTGGACAGAATGTCAACTGTCCCCTTAACCAGGGCTGTCTCTGTGCTGTGAGCTGCATGAAACAGATGGTTCAGGTGAAGGAAATGCCAGAGTCAAATCCAAAAGGGAGTTTAGGAGGAACCCCTTCACATAGAGGGTGGTGAAATTGTACATTGCACCCTTCATCCTTTGTCCTCTTGTTCTGATTCCTTGACTTACCTGAAAATATTGCTCTTATCTTACAGCAAAGTCCGTAGCCAATTCAACGCAGTACTTGCCAGTCTCCATTCGCTCACTATTACATAATTGATCCGTTTCAAGATGCTCACACTCTCATACGAATCTCATGCCCAGCTCCTCCATGACTCTCCGATTTGTTTTCAACCCACACCTTTTAATCTGAGACCCCGTCTGAACTTGCTCATGCAGATGTTAACGATCCGTACAGCTGTTCAAAAACCAAAGGGTGTTTCTCTCTCCTGGATTCTTGGCCAATAATCCCCCAAACGGGATCGGTGTGTTTGTGGGATATTGACGAGTGCCATTTGGCTGCGTGTTCACCCTCAAAACAAAAGAGTCTCCACACTTCCAAACCTGTGAAGCTCTTTTAAATGTCTCAGTAATTTGGTAAAGTACTTTGTCGAAAGCAACATATTTATTATTATCATGCGGATTATTATTGTTAACCAGTAATGTGACTGAGATACTGAACCTTACATTACAACATAGAACTTATCACCCTTATCTTAGATATTACAATAAATAGCCACGAACACAAGCGCACAGTCACGAGTTCAATTGCACTGTTATGTCAATTTTATTTTTGCTAATCATTTTCGAAACAAGTTGATGATCAGGTTAAATGGGTACTTCATGGCATTGATTAACTCCTCCCTGAATCGCATCTGAGCCAACGCGTAAATGCAAGTGTTAGTGCCGGAACTGAGCAACTGGAACATATCCACAGTGTAATAAGCGATCAGCAGTGGGTCAGTGTACACATATGGCTCATAGTCAGCGTTTGTGCTCCTGGAGTATAGGAAGAAGACAACGTATGGCATCCACAGCAGCACAAAGCTCCCGGAGATGGTGAAGAGCAAAATAATGGATCTCCTCCGACTCTGCAGCTCGGGGTCACTGCTGCCCTCCTTTCTGCTGTGTCCCAGCAGAGACCTGCGTTTCCTGTTGGCTGCCAGCACATGCCTGACAGTCAGAGCATTGAGCACCATCATCAGGAAATAGGGAGCGAGCGGACACAAAATAGTGTCAAGCCAATCGAAGGCTAACCATCCTGGATACGTGTAGTAGGTGGGTTTTATACTGCAACGAATGGGCACATTGTGTATGATGTAGACAGGTTCAAACATAAAGTATACGGCTATGTTCTTCAGGCAGCTCAGCCCACACAGGGCGGCAGTGATCAACTGTGCAGTTCTCAGTGTGCAGTACTGAGCCTTGAGCTTTGGGTAACAGATTGCTACAGAGCGGTCCACAGTGAAGGCCACCGTCAGCCACACCGAGCAGTCCACCAGGATGTAGTTCACGGCTTCATTTAGACAACATACCGGTGTGTACTCCAGGAATGAATAGGGGAAATAATAGCACAAAAGGTAATAAATCACAACATTGAAAATCATCACCAGTAAATCTGCCGTCGTCATAGCCAAGAGGTAGAGGGACACACCTTTAGAGAGACCACATCTTCCCCGACACAGGATAGCAATTGTCAGAAAGTTGGCTCCATGAAGAGGAAAGAGAGAGGAACGTTTAAGGTTCCAATTTACATTAGAATATATTACAATATACAGAGCACAGAAGTAGTTCATTTGGCCCAACTGGTCTATGCTAATGTTTATGGTCTACATGAGCCTTCTCCTTCCATTCCTCAACTAAGCCTTCTAGCATAACCTTCTATTCCTTTCTCCCTGTTGTAATAATAATAATAATAATAATAATAATAATAATCCTTGCATTTGATATAGCGCTTTTCACGTCGGGAGGACGTCCCAAAGCGCTTCACAGAACACACTGTAAAGTGAATTGACTGTCTATTTGTGGGCGAACGCGGCAGCCAATTGCGCACAGCAATGTCCCACAATCAGTCGTAGATTGAAAATGACCAATTTATTATTGTTTTGGTTTTGGAGGGAATGTTATTAGGCTCTGTGTGGAGTAAGGAAACTTGCCCAAGGTTTCGCCCTCTGCCTGGAATTGAACTCAGGTCTCTCGCTTGCAAAGCGAGTGCTCTAACCACTGAGCTACAGGACCCCACATGTAGCTTTCCCTTAAATAAATCTGTGCTATTTGCCTCAGCAACTCCTTGTGGTCGCGTATTCCACATTCCCACTACTCTGTGCGAAGAAATTTCTTCTCACTTCCACATTTGATCTATTGGTGACTGTGTTATATCGAAGGCCCCTGGTTTTGGTCTCCCTCACAAGTGGAAACATCTTCCCTATGTCTACCCTATCAGAACCCTTCGGCATTTTAAAGCCCTCCATCAGGTCACCACTGACCCTCCTCTTTTCAAGAGAACAAAGTCCAAGTTCAGCGTTTCCTGAAAGGTATAAGCTCTCAGTTCTGGGATCTTCGTTGTGAATCTCCTTTGCACCGTCTCCCATCCCTTTTCAAATGTGAGGACCAGAACTGCACACAGTATTCTGCGTGTGGCCTAATCAAGGTTCTTCTCTAGAGATTCACCATAACTTCCCTGCTATTCATTTCTATCCCTCTAGAAATCAACCCCAATGCCTGGTTTGCTTTTTTTTTGATGGCCTTATTAACTTGGGATGCTCCTTTTAGTGAATTGTGTGTGTGTGCACCCCTCGGTCCCTTTGCTCCTCTACCCCATTTAGGTTTTTAATTTCCTGGATGGATGTAGGCGACTTCCTTATTCCTTCTACCAACATGTACCACTTCACAGTTTTCTATATTGAAATGCATTTGCCATTTAAATGCCCACTCAGCAAATTTATTAATGTCTTGCTGCAATTTGTTGCCGTCCTCCTCTGTATTATTAACTACTTCCCCAATTTGTTGTCGTTCGCAAATTTCGAAGATGCGAAAAGCGCATTTGTACAACAAAACCTAACCCTGTACACGAACAATTCACCCTCTACACCAACACCTCACCTTGTACACCGACAACTCATCCTGTACACCAACACACCACCGTGTGCGTCAACACAACACTCTGTACACCAACACACCACCCTGTACACCAACACACCACCCTGTACACCAACACACCACCCTGTACACCAACACACCACCCTGTACACCAACACACCACCCTGTACACCAACACACCACCCACCCCCCCCCCTTACACCAACACACCACCCTGTACACCAACACACCACCCTGTACACCAACACACCACCCTGTACACCAACACACCACCCTGTACACCAACACACCACCCTGTACACCAACACACCACCCTGTACACCAACACACCACCCTGTACACCAACACACCACCCTGTACACCAACACACCACCTTGTACACCAACACACCACCCTGTACACCAACACACCACCCTGTACACCAACACACCACCCTGTACACCAACACACCACCCTGTACACCAACACACCACCCTGTGCACCAACAACTCAAACTGTACACCAACACATCACACTGTACACCGACTCCTCAAACTTTACACCAACACCTCACACCGTACACCGACACCTCACACTTTACACCAACACCTCACACCGTACACCAACACGACGCAATGTACGCCAACACCTCACAATGTACACCGACATCACACACTGTACAACAGCACTTCACATTGTACACAAAACCTTAGGTTGTGTGCAACACCTCAAGCTGTACATCAACACCTCACCCTTTAAAGCAAGAATGCACACTTTAGAGCAGCACTTCAAAACATACAGCAACAACTCACACTGTACAACAACACCTCACACTGTACACCAACACCTCACACAGGACAGCAACACCTCACACTGTACATCAACACCTCACACAGGACAGCAACACCTCACACAGCACGCCAATACCTCACGATGTGTACCAACAGCTCACACTGTACACCAACACCTCACACAGGACAGCAACACCTCACACTGTACATCAACACCTCACACAGGACAGCAACACCTCACACTGCACACCAATACCTCACGATGTGTACCAACAGCTCACACTGTACACCAACATCTCACACAGGACAGCAACACCTCACACTGTACACCAATACCTCACACAGGACAACAACACCTCGCGCTGTACACCAATACCTCATGATGTGCACCAACAGCTCACACTGTACACCAACAGCTCACGATGTACACCAACAGGTCACACTGTACACCAATACCATACGCTGTACACCAACACTTCATGATGCACACCAACAGCTCAAGTTGTACACCAACACCTCACAATGTACACCAACACCTCACCCTGTACACCAACATCTTACACTGTAGACCAACACCTCACACTCTACAGCAACAACTCACACTGTAAACCAACACTTCAACCTGCAGATGCTGTTTGGAAAAACCGAATGCAGAAAACCAGTAATAAATGAGGCTCCGAGGCTGACAGCCTCACGGATGTCCCTGAACAGCTCCACAGTTACAGTAATAAGTGGTTTTAGGGATTGTTAGAGGGTCGACGTTACAACAGTGGTTCATGGGAGAGAGACGCTCTTCAGAGAGGGTTTAAGTTGGTATCAAAGTGTCATAAAGAATAATTATAGGAGGCTTAATAATAGTAATAATCCGTGCATTTGATATAGCCCTTTTCACAACTTCTGGAGCGCTTCACAGAATAGACTATAAAGTGAATTGACTGTATATTTGTGGGCAAAATGCGGCGGCCAATTGCACACAGCAGCGTTCCACAAACAGTCCTGGATTGAAATAACCAATTAGTCTTTTTTTCAGGAATATTATCAGTCTTGTGGAGCAAGGAAACTTGCCCAAGGTTTCACCCTGCTGGGAATCGACCCCAGGTCTCTCGCTTGCAATGCGAGTGTTCTAACTACTGAGCTACAGGACTCCGCAATCGACTTCAGAATCTGTAAAGGAAAGTTATCAAATTGATGTTAAAGAATAACAAAAGTTTCAGACAGATTGCGTTAGAACGTCTTCTGAAGTGATGGGCTCTATATAAATGAAACATATTGTTGTTGAAGTGCAGAAAGGGAAATGGTTCCTGGAATCAGACTAAAGCTTTATTAATTATAAGTCGTACCTTCAGGTTTGGCATTAACAGGGAAATCGGTCTAAAAATTAAATTAAGGCACGTCTGACAATGAACCACAAACCCTCTGTTGGGAGGAAGTTCCAAAGCGCTTAACAATCCTGGCTCAACACCTAAGTTTGGGGAGAGAGCCAATCAAGGTGTGGAGGGATGGTGAAACTCCGGTCAAAGAGGTAGATCTTGAAGCAGGACTAGAACGACTTGAGGGAGGGAGTCAGAGGAACGCTGGGACGGAGTTCCAGAGAGCGGGGCCAGAGAGGCTGAATGCCTGCCCGCTGATGGTGGGGGAAGGACACACAGCTGTCTGGTGCTCGGTGAGCAAAGGGACAGGTCAGTATGGTTTGAAAGATTGAAAGATAGAAATTGTCTTACCAGGGATTCCAAGCACTGACAGGCAATGGTAAAAAATGAAAGTTATCTGAAAAATTCCTACGTAACCCATGGTCTTCAGTGCAACGAACCAATCACTTGCACAGCATCAAAGACTCATGGGCTCAAAACACTCTCTTATATCAAACAAAGCAATCCTCCCCTGAGAACCGATCAGTTGCACAATAATGGCTGTGAGTTACAGTCGAGTGAACAAACATCTTTAACGTTTTCTTAGGGAATAGAATACTTTGTACAGATGGACATTACTCACAAGTAAACGACTCTGGCAAAAAAATGACAGTGTGATTGATTTGTCAGCCTGGCTCGATGTGTGGCAGCCTGGCTCAGTTGGTAACAAACTCAGTCAGATATTTGTGGGTTCAAGCCCCACATCAGGATTTTGAACTCACACAATCGAGGCTGACACTCCAATGCAGTGCTGGGTGGAAGGGCAGCATTATATTTGTGGAGCCATCTTTCAGATGAGATGTTGACCTGAGGCCCTGCCCATCTGCCTGTTCTGGTGGATGTTGAAAATCCCTCGACGCTATTCGAAAAGTAAAGGGGAACAGTGAATTTCGTTGCTGTGTCCTGAAATGGCACCTGTGACAACACAGCACAGTCCCAGCAATACCTTGGATGTCAGTATTGTCCAAAGAGTTCCATGTCCCAAAGCGGCATTTGAAACCATCGCCTTCAACAACATCAACTTGCATTTACACAGGGCATGGGGTTGACCCAGAGTAGCGTCCCAAAACACGTGACAGTGGAAGAGCATGGCACTGAGTCAGGGGGAGGGGGAGATGACTGCAAGCATGGCAGATAGAGGCAGATGTTCAGGTGTGTCCTGAAGATGGGGAAGGAAAGGGCAAAGCAGATGGATAGAGGAACACTATTCCAGAGATTTGGGGAGTAGTGGCTGAAAGCACAGCCACCAATGGTGGAACGAATAGAGGTTCACAAGGGACAAGCAGAAACTGGAACAGTCGAGCGGTGGCAACGGGTTGTGGGTTGGGTGGTAAGTAGGTCAGAGAGGTAAGG